CGTTCAGTAACTTTAATTTTTGAACGGTGTCAACGTCAAATTTGGGGAAAAATATGATTTTTTTAAATGGAAATTTCTCCATGACCCAACACTACTCCAGAATAAGTGTGGCTTCATAGCTTAATCAACAGCGTGTATTCTCGGAAGCCTATAGTATTCTATAGCCAATTCTAAATTTACATTCGTCGATACCATACGTTCCACGGACTGGTGCAATGAAGTAGTCACGAGCCCATATTTAGCAGATCTCAAAATAGACATTAAATGAAAGAAGCAAATAAAAATAGTTAAAAATATACAAAACCAAAGTGGATAAGTGTTAATGTTACCTAACAGAATACGATTCAATTCAGCGACGCACAAGACGAACGAGTAGTTTAGTTATTTAATAAGGCAATGATTACAAATACATTGTTGTTATGTTGAACCCTTGTAAAGTTTACATGTTCTGACAAATATTAACGTTGACGTCAAAAACCTTAGAAAGAAATTGTTATTGTTTAATTGTTAGTACATTTCGACTCCTCCTACGTAATCTATCGTAAGCCACAAAGTAATATTATAATTGCTAAATTAGTCTGTCTATCTGTTACCTTTGGACGCCTAAACCGCTGAACCAATTCTGATAGTTATTAATACAAAGATTTAGAAAAAATTCGTTCAATCCGGCCGGATTGGAATCGACGACGTCTCTTAGCAAACTGTGCCAGACGCTATGCCAACTAAGCCACGGAACGAACCAGCGGACTCCTCACGAATTTCCATATGTGATTGTCGGATCTTTGTATTTGATTTTTTCAACGACTTTTTAGCTTTAAATTACTAGCCTTTAGATTTTAAAAATCAATTTTGATGAATCTTGGTATAGAGATAGAAGGGACCTAGGAGAAGGACATAGGCTACATTTTGTCACAAAAGTAAATCTTAAAGATGGTGAAATAGGGGATGAAAGTTTGTATGGACAACCAATAAAACTATGAAAATTAGTGTAGTGCAGTAGTAGGCTACTCGAAGTACATATTCTACGTACTTTATAAATCTCTTATTTATGTACGTCTATTACACTCAGCATGCACTCTGCAGTGAAATTACGAGTATGAAAGCATGAAAAATAATGAGTATGCTTCAAATTTGATTTTAATATTTGGAGAATAGCAGCTATTATGCTCATTTTAGTCATTACGATACACTAAAAAGTTCCCCTTTATAGTTGTGAATTTGACCTTACGATTCTTTAAGTAGGAGGGATAGATTTATGCCTACATATAAGACGTGTTGTGTGTTATGCAATATTGTGTGCACAAAATAAGTAAATAGTTTATAGAAGGCTTTAAAAATTCTATTTGTGACCGAGGTTTGTTCATTTACTTTATGGAAATAAAATACCAAGTACAATAGAGTAGTAAAGTCAGACTACAATTACGAAACTATATAAGTATTAAGAACTATTATAAGTATTAGAAACTATTTAAGTATTTTATTTTTATATCCGGAACTTAGCGGTGTGATTTATGCTACTGGAAAAGAGGGGAATTCGAAAAAAGTTATTTATCATAATATATTTAAAAAACAAACTTTTGTGTCTCCGTCACTTTCTGTTTACAGTCTTACGCGCGTTAATTCTTTCAGAATTTAAAAAATCGAGCACGACGAGTTGTCGTTTTAAGGAGAGATCGGAATAGAGTGTTAATTGCTTGATATTTATACTAATATTCTAATTATATCGCATAGTACCTTGCCTGATCCTTTTTTCTCCTCCCACTCTTCATTATCTCGTTTATATTTTTTTTATTCTGAGTTAAAAGTCGAAAACTTTGTCCATGACTGAATCGCTAACAGCCAAGGACAAAAAAATATAGTTAAATGTTTAGTTACAATTACAAAATACTTACTCTTACTTATGCAACAACTACACTTTTTAATTTTAATAACTTCGACATTTCGGAGTCAAGCTTGAAGTTTTGGTAAACATACTGTCTATAACAATATCTATTTAAAAATAACAACAGTCGCCCACAAATGGCTCGATATTTTAAATTTTGTCAGGATTTTTTTTAATATTAATTCACGGCACCGGAATAAATTCATCAAGCCAAATCTTCAACATTTTTTTTCTTAACTTTTTAAATACCGTGTCTATGACACTTTCTTCTTTGAATATATTTCAAGTATTTGAAGGTATCTACATCTCTTCAATGATGGAAAGAATGTTATGCGTATATATATGTTCATAATTCTTCGTATTCTGCAGTAACGTTGGCAAGAGGCGGGGATGTCTTCTTTACAAATCTTTAGTAGGCCATCTATAAGAGTCTTTGCACACTGAAGGCAGGGTATCTGACAGAATTGACGTGCGTAATACACAATGTAATTTTCTTTTTTCCCGGTTTTTTGTGGTTAGCGTTTTCAATTCCTACAAGAGAGTTGACTTTGGTCTTTAAAACGGATAAACTTATAAAAATGAATTTGGAAACAGGATTAGGAAGGTAGAGGAACAACGGAATCAAGCGAGGAGTTATGAGATTTAAATAAACAATTAGTAAAAAATAAACAGCTAAATTGTAAAATAACTCTAAAAAATAAATAACGTAATTCAGAAAAAGTCGGTGCAGCCTAATGATTTGACCTATCGTCTCTGAAGCAGAGGTCGACTGGCCGATTTCGGGCTCGAAATTTTGAGTTTTTTTGGAAATGATGTGCGAAATTTGATTTGAAATTTACCATGAGCTTTTCGGTCAAGGAAAACATCGTGATGACACCTGAACCTCGCAGAAGGTTCAAAGCCCTCGAAAAACGTGTGACGTCCCGAACCCGCATTGGGCCTACGTGGTGGACGTGATATAAATGGGTTGATGTTGAAAATAACTCTAATTATATAAGTGTAAATGTCTGCAAAATCGCAGTGCCAAATACAAAAAAGGTTAGATTTTTTTAAATATAACAGTCATGTTTGTGGTACGCTTTACCTTTGTCTATTCAACGAGCAAAATCGTGCCATATTTTCAAAAATATGATAAAAGAACACTACCTAACTTTAGTGTGACTTGAACTGCATAAGTGTTTTTATTTTTTAGAAATTTTATTTCTATAGGTGTAGGAATATGTAGCAGTTTATGATATTCATATATATGTATTGGTTTTATTATTAATAAATATATGTATATTTGTATTTATTTATAATTTTTCTACCTATTGATTAGTAATTCTTCATACACCGCCGTCTTTTTCCTGTGAGTTATAGAATTACTTCCACCCAAAGGTTGTCTGGCAGAAATCGATTAAAGCGATAAGACCGCCCATTGTATTACCGCTTATTTTTAATTTAATTGTATTTGATTTGTTTCTTTTTTTTTGGTGTACAATAAAGAATTTTTGTATTGTATTCGTTCGAATCCGTGTTTAGGACTGCTGCAGATTTTTCGCCGGAATTATTTAAAAAAAGACATTTCAAGTCTTAGGACCCTGTGTCAATCAAACAGACCGGCACTCGTGGGCACCGACTCTAATATCGCTATTATACATTACATCAGAGCATTATAATGCCGGATACAGCTGATAAGTTTTAACATTATAAGGTTGCCAAGCCATTCTTTTTATATAATAATCGTTCTAAACTCTGATCTCAAAACGACGCCTGCTTTAAATAAACATTTGTTTTTGTTTTACTATCATATTACAGGTTTAATAAACAATAAATGAATATTTTATTGTATTTCTTGCTACTTTTGGACGTGGTAATTTTTTAAATTTTATTACACCAGTGTTCATTATCAAATTTCCGTGGCAATTATTTATTATTTAAATATTCAAGTATTTATCGTGTAATTATCAAATAATATTTCACGATAAAAATCGAATACTTAAATAATAAAAATATCGGAAATTAGGTAGTGAACACAAGTCCGAGAATTACCGACATCCATTTGCAAACAGTGTTTAACTTGGAAAGTTTCGACACTTATAGTAAATGTATTCAGTTATCGATTTTCGGTTACGTCTTTACGTCAACAAAAGAAACCTTCCAGTAAGGTTACATTACAACTAGTTTACTTTAGCGTAAGTATGTTTGTTTATTTACAAGTTAAGGTAACATCCGTGATTGCGGTGACGTACCTATGACGTTCTATTATAAATCATGTTTATCTATACATAAGTAAGAAAACATTACTTGTATAGGAAATGATAAGACAAAATAGAAACTTGAGAATAAATAAAAACTTAAATAACATAGCGCAACAACTGCACCAACTGAATATGATACCCGGTGGCCTGTATTAAATTTGAATCCGTGATCAGATGTCGTGGATAACGAATGAATATAAATCACCAGCGCTCTCGAGTGAAAGTCCGCAATGATATCCACTGCTGGCGCGGCAACGACATCTAGCAGATCAGGGCGATAGATGTAGACATGTACACATTAGTTAACGCTTCTCACCACACTTTCACGAAACGAAAAAAAACAAAATCACCACGCGGCACTCGAGATCTGATGACCGATGGTTGCTATCTCAGCACTCGCAGAAGCCACGCCACCACATTCTACGTGAACGTAGAAAACTTTCATACATATCCACAGTGATAAAAACCTTTTGAAAGTTTTTATTATAATATAGACTCTAGACCAGACCTCTCGTAACGTCGACGACAAAGCAAGAACGCGGGTCGAGTCCTGATGTGGACTTGTCCAGTCCAGTAATAAGAAAGAATTTCACTCACCAAGAATAGGTATTTTACAAAGCTGACAGACAAAGTGGAAATGAACTATGCCATTTATGTAACAACACTATCTCATTAGCATAAGTATGACGTTAAACAATTTTCGAACCGGCCCCACTTCCGGGATCGTTATATCGGTCTATCGTGAATGAACATCATTACAATTCGATGTACGCGCAGAGGTGGTACAACGAGAAACCAGTTGGAATATCGATAAGACACTAAGACACAGGGCACGTGCCGGAGACAGGTGCCTGAGGGACCGCGACAATTGCGCTCACCTGGGTGTTGTCAATCGCGTACATAATAAATGCGTGTGAGTGCGCGGGCGCGCGGCATGGCATACGCTGTGCGGTGCGCGGCACGTCTCGCGGCGGACTGCGGAGCACGGGTGCGCACACCTCTGCGGCCGCGGGCCCGCAGAGTGAAGGGGAAGCGGGGCACTGCCAGATCCGGGTTGCGCGCCCACTGCAGCCGGCCCCCAAACAAACCGCACGCCGAGCGATATTGGTCTCTCGTGTCATCTCCCGAAAATGACCCAGAGACCAACCGCAAGCGGAAGTGCGGGGACGACTGCCCTCAATCGCTGAACTCGTGCGAGACCCGAATGATCCAAGTTTCCCAAATTTTGCTTTAATCTTTAAAAATTAATTAGACGTTTGCATTAACCGTCCCTCATGTACGTTGCATTTCTGTTGTGGAAATTGAAATTAATAGAAAATTTACCTTATTGGCATGATGCCACTTAATGACTATACTAATTACACCTTTTATGTATGCATATAATAGCGTACTATGACGACACAACACCTGGAGTAAAAAATATATACAAGATAATAAGATAAAACAATCAGAGTGAAATGACATAGTAGGAAATTCCATTACAATCTAATGCCAATATTTATATCAGTACGAAATTATCATGCAAATCAGCAAAACAGAAGCTGATAAATTTCAACCAGCAGTCAAAATTGGTATGATTATTGTACACTTCAACAACTAGTAACAGTTAAGTAATGCTGAGATCATAATGACATGGAAAACTCGAAAATTGAAAATATGTAGGTATGCCCTCACTCAGACATAAAAAAATATAAAGAAATTCAACACATGACAGACTAGAGAAACAAAATTAAATGCTCAACAACCAAAACCAAAACAGAAATACAAAAATAAAATATTATTAATGAATAATTAAGAATTCGATATACTCATATACCCTAGTTGTAAAACAATGCTTTTGTCAAAGCTGTTAAACAGGTTCTCGACATTCAGCATGCACACAAGCAAGTAATCTATTCTACAATGGACAACTTTCAAAATTGTAGAGTAAACCGAAAAATATCTTGGAGATTGATATTCAACGCAAAAACAAAGGTAAAGAGAAGACAATTTTATTTCAACAATCGTCAAATTGTGTTTAGAGTGGGCTAGGCATACGAGTAGATTTGGAAGAGATACTTCTTGTTACAGAGAAAATATTTGAAGATCTCGTTGCCCTCACTATTGTGGGCTAGGAGCGCCAGGATGACGGAGGGTTAAATTACGTCAATACATAATTGAGTTTCCTGTGTTATGGAGTAATAAATTGCATAGACGAAATATTTACTTCAAGTTTAAACCTTGGAAAAACATATACATAGCTCCTAATAGAAAACAAAAGACTTAAGTGGATTATTAACATAGGGCGCATAAGTCTCCGGAACTGGCTACTTACATAAACAATATTTAAAAAGTAATTACAACATTTGAAAATGGGACTCTTTGGCTGTAGTATACAGTTTGTTTCATCTGACTGTTACTTGTTTTTACATTGTGGCGTCATTTTAGAAATTGGTTGTCTACATCACCATGGATTTAACTCGTGACTATTTTCGTAGTATGATTTTCTGCGACCTTAAGTGTAATTTAACAGCTCAGCGGAGCTTCGCTCGGCTTCAAACCGCTTTTGCCGATGAAGCACCATGCAAGACGACTATTTATAGCTATTTTGCAGAATTCAAACGCGGTCGTGTGAATCTCAGTGACGAATTTTGTGATGGTCGCCCGTCTTCTGCTGTGAACAACAAAAACATCGATGCTGTGCGCCGTACGATCAAATCAGACAGACATGTGACATACCATGAGATTCGTGCATCTTTAGGCATAGGCATCAGCCAAATACAATCAATACTACAAAAACATTTGTGTGTGAAAAAGGAGCGCTCTCGGTGGATCCCACACAATTTGACTGAGGCTCAAAAAACGGATCGCGTCACTTGGTGCAATGCCATGCTTACCAGATTCAACGAAGGGGCGTCAAGTTAGGTGTGGGAAATAGTAACAGGTGACGAAACATGGATTTATAGTTACGATCCCAAAACAAAGCAGCCATCGAGCGTATGGATCTCGGAGATGAGCCGAAACCAACCAAAGTGGCATGCGTGCAAAGTGCCTCTAAGCGGATGATTGCTTCTTTTTTTAATAAAACTGGACACGTGGCTACTGTTGCTTTGGAGAATCGTTGTACCGTGAATAGTGATTGGTACACGACCATTTGTTTGCCGGAAGTTATTGACAAACTCCGTAAAAATAACCATAAACGCCGTATCATCTTGCACCACGATAATGCCAGTTCTCACACGGCCAGACAGACAAATGAATTTTTGAAGGTGAACAACGTTGACCTTATTAGCCATCCCGCGTACAGTCCCGACCTGGCACCTTGTGACTTTTATTTATTTCCAAAAATTAAGAACCAGTTACGCGGTCAACGATTTTCAGCGCCTGAAGAGGCTGTCGAGAGTATGAAAAATATGTGTCACAGATTGTCACGGAGGAGTGGCATAAATGTTTTCAAAATTGGTTCATTCGTATAAAAAAGTGCATTAACGCTAACGGAAAATATTTTGAGAAACAATAAACTCATTTTTAACCATTTATAGTATTTTTTTCTTATACATTCCGGAAACTTATAGTGCGCCTCACGTAATAACAAAGAATTAAGCTAAAAAACAGGGTTAAAACTAGTGTTGAGTCATGGTAAAATTTTGAAAAAATCATATTTTTCAGAAAAATAAATATTTTTCCAGATATTTTCCAACATTTTTCCCTTAGTTTTCCACATTTGATGTTGACATCTGTTAAAAGTTCAAGTTGCTGAACGAAAACGATGAAGCCACTAAAAAGGTTTTTTTCGCTGTTGTGAAATCTGATTTTTAAGGTCGTATTCTAGAACTCTACGCAATGCTCAAGTCAGGATTTGAATATGGTTTAAAGCACTCGAAATCATACTCAAGTCCCTGTCATTACGGTCGTATTTCCAGTGCTTGTGTTTCCAGTGTAATCCTGACTTGAGCATTGAGTAGAGTTCTAGAATACGACCCTAAAACTCGTTCTCGCACATAGAGAATATGTGGCTTTTAGATACACAAGTTTATTTTATAATTCATGCTAAATAAAACTTCAAAAGATATTTATAAACGTAGAACATAATATGAGCCTTCGAAATTTTATTTTTCCAATTTTTCGGGAAATCTTTCTGGAAAAATTTCCACTATTTGAGATTTCTTGGAAAATTATCCGACAGTAGTTAAAACAAAGAATGTCCACTTTGATTAATTAATGTGCAGTTAATAACATTCCAAAATTATACCAGAAAGTCCCATTGTTGGTCTTTTGATCTTAAATTTTTTATCTTATTTTAATATTGAATAGTCAAGTATGTCATGTAACAAAGAAGAGCATGCTAACAGAGAAAGACAGTCATGTAATTTCACCAGCACCCTGATAGCACTGATATAAGCTTTTTTAACGTAATAAACGTCAAACATTACCTTTTATGATAAAAAATTTGATTATTGACGTCAGTTGTGCGTTTTGAGCTTACTGTGTATCCAACAATTATGGAGATAGATTTCTATAAAAAAGTTAGGTAGACAAGACCTTTCTTTTCTGATCCCGAGTATGATTACAACTCAATTCTGATAAAAATGTTAGTTGTTCCAAGGGCAGTTTTGACTTTAATTTCAAGGCTAGCTATGCATCCCCTCATCACTGCGACCATTGACTGATTAATTGTGATCATCACCAAGGCCGACGGCATTGAAGTACTGAAGGACTTTCCTGGCTCTGACAGATTTAATGTCATCTGGTTGTGGCATGTGCCTTCCCAGTACGGAACTACGTACGCCCATCCCCTGATAGGTAAGGTGGTAAGTTAAGGCTCTAGTGAGCACTCTTATGCCATTGCTGTCCAATGACAGAGCTTCTCTACATTGTTTGGTACTGTAGGCAGATATCAGGGCTTCTGAATGCTCAAGGCCCTTGTCCTGTAGGCACATTTATCGGGAGAGGTGTGTGCTCTCATTTAGCTGAGTGAGCTTAGCCATGCTGTATGCTATCCCTATGAAGGGTTCGGGCCCAATAAAGGTCTCCCTAGCACCAGCCTTTGCCAGTTCATCTGCTGACTCATTACCATCGATGTCAGAGTGGCCTGGAACCAAGCGCAGTACCACTGTATTACTTTCCCCAAGAGTATTCAGTATATTTACTCAGTTCTCTACAACTACAAACTACAATCCTCGATGTTTGGGTGACTGAGGCTAGTACATGTAGTGCCACTTGACTATCTGAGTTTATGTAAATTATACTTAACAAAGTAGTGTCAGCTTGTAGCCGAGCTTTGGTTTCACACCATGTATACCACAGCCTATGTTGGGTCCCATCTTAGGACCCTTCGGTACAGCATAGAAGGCTACCGTCTTTCTAGGTGAGACTGTTAGTTTCCCAGTCCTCCTAGTTGGTAGGAGTACCTTACTGTAGTCTCAATAATAGTTTCACACCACTTTTCTTATTATTGAGGGTAATTAATAATTAACACCTGTTAAGAAACTGGTGTTTTATTGATGTTATATATAACACTGGTTATTAGGGACATCACAGAACAATAAATACAGTAGAAGTGGTTAGTTAGTGTCTGACGTGTGCCAACAGTGGGTCTTGTTAGACCTACTTGAGGTCAGTCCGCCATTTTTGCTTTGTATGGTACTCTAAAATCGTAGAAGAATGCCTTATTGTGCTATTTTGAAGAGCAAAAATGGTAGTAGCATCAAAAATATTACCCGTAGTAGTATTGCATATCATCAGTAAGTCTTATGTTAATACATTTTCAATTTATATACATTCAGATGTTAACCGTTCGTCATAGTCCAGCTTCTGGCCGTAAGATGGCAGCACATTGAATAAATCTTAATGATATAGAGACTGGGTAAACTTTAAATTATATTAACAGTCCAGAAATCGTTAAATCTTTTTAAATTAGAAACTATGACTAATATTATCAAGATTTCATTGTGTTTATCATTTGTTTGCGTGCATTTTGGCGACAGCAATATCAATACTAATTGAGGCTTAAGGCAGTTAAGCCTCAATTAGTACTTCCATTGTTTTTTTTCTTCCATGAGGGACCTAAAGGTCATGTGCTTAGCTTTCAAAGGACAGTGAATTGTTCTTCCTTAACAAAACAATTTTACAATTCACATACATTTATGCACTCACTCAAAATTTACTTTAAAATATAAGATACTCTTCATTCAGTACTTTGCAGAAAAATTTGGCTAAAGCCAAACTAAAAATGCTACCTTACGCCATAAACATAAAGTTTAATTTTGAAGAAATAGATAATCTGCTATCGGAAATATTTAAAAAACAATGATAAGACACTGTGACATAAATTGATACCAATTCCCATCTTTGTTTGAAGTATGGTATGAAGCTGAACAGGTAGGTATACATTACATTACAGTTACTCTTTGTCTCATTGAAACACAGTGCCTTTATGCTAACTTGATAAAATTCCTTATATTAATACATGAATTGTGAAGGATCTGTATGTAACGTTAAATTTATTATTAATTACACTCAACAGAACAGAAGTTGACGTAAATGAATAGCTTTAGTCAGACTTAATTACAGACAAAACACTAATGTTTAGTGGGTTGCTTACTAGTTTAAGATTAAAAATAGTATTAACACTACACTGACTCACTAAGGAGGTTACAAAGGAAAGTCATATCGTTTTAATAAACATCTTCAATAATTTGTATGTCACATGTCCTAGAGACACAGAGACAGTGTCCTTAACTTTTTTTTAATATTTACAATTTTTTTTATAAATTTAAATAAAATGGTGGATGAAAACGCAGCTACACGTTCTAACACCATGTGACCCTAAGATTGATGGGTTGATAAAAAAAAAATTATAAAAATATTGTTTAATACATTAATGGTTACATTTTAATGTTTCTTTAAGATTAATTCCGTTTCAGTGAATTTATTGAGAACTCAACTAAATGCATCACTATACAATAAACTAAGCAACATTCTTTTTAAGTCACATTAATAAGGTTAGCTTTAATAACAAATAATTAGAACACAAAAGATAAAACACATCTATAAACCTTAATGTTTTTGCCATACATGTGCAGTATTTTTTTCCAAATAGATAAATACTGTACACCAAGTAAATAATATGCTATAGAATAATGAATTCTGCTTTACAATCACATAAATTATCAACGCCAAATTTCATAGTAATTAATTGTTAAAGGAGCAATAGAGAATGCGAAATTCATGAAGCTAAAGGAGAAAAAGACTATATTACATACTCGTTGAATTTAACCACGTATTCGGTTAGGTACTCATTTCGAAATGAAACACAGCCGACGTTCTGGTCTAAATTTCACTCGCTTCCTTAAGCATTAAACAGATATAAGAAAACATTAAGGCAAATAGAGGAAGATCTTTAGACTTGCTTACCTGTATCCTCCCTACAAGCTCCCGTGGATTGTAGTTTCCATCAGTTGGATTCAGATTAAATATCACGTTGAAATACGCATATTCACTCTTTTCTTTGGTAAAACTCGATTTATTCTCCGACAAAGTGACATAGTAAAAAGTTTCCACCAAATTCAGATACTTGCTGTAAAACTCGGTAATACACGCACGAGGAACCGATATCAATAAATCGTTATCGTGAGACATTATTCGACATATGCTGTGACAACAAATCACGCACTAATGTCGCAATTTAATTGCATAATTCGTATCAAAACACTGCCTTCAGCCTTCCATTTCGACAATTTGTTTTTTTTTTCTTAAATATACTATTAATTTTCTGAAGTGTGGACTGGACACAAATATTAGAATTCATACTGCTTAGAACAGTGTGAATTTTAAAATTGATATAATCCGTACGAAGTAAAGAATGTCAAACTCTCATTTATAGAAATGAAATAGTTACTATAAAAAGAAATTACTTTTCTTCAATAACTTGGGAACAATTGTTATTCTAAGCACAATTAAAATAATCAAAGCAATAACTACGTAAAACGAAACACAAAACAAAAATAGATTTGGGTTCCGTAGTGCAAAGAACATTATCTAAAACAATGAGTAAAGTTCCGCTTTTGCTGAATAGCAAAGTTTCTTGCGCTATTTTTCATATCACATTCATAATTTGCATTTCACATGGATGATTCAGATTAAACTTACAAATATTTTTGGTAGGTACGTAAAAATAATTATAATTTTAAAATATGTATCGAGTTCTTAGGTTTTCGCGATTGTTACACATAGGAAATTAACTATTTTTCCGGATTTAAATCGCGTATATTTGTTTTTTCAAACAAAACGACGTTTCGGGCCCTTTACAGGTCCCATGGTCACGGTTGACTGAGGTGGTGCAGTCTTCAACCAGTTATGTCTAATATTGATGCAAATCACCCTATTTTTTCACTATAGTTACAATAGTTATTAATTAAATACCTAATTTTTAATTTTACAAAGAAACATTCCAATTTACGCTATATTAAGTTTTACAAATTATTTTATTGAATGAATTTTTATTAAGTTCAATTTATTATTAATTATTAATAGAAATTAGAATAAACTAAAACATATTAATTAGTACTGCAGTCTTATGTCTGTTTGGGATTGGGTTTTCATTAGAGGAAATACTGGATCCCAAACTGGTGGTACGGAGAAACCATCTTCCCTGTTGAAATTAGGATGTTTTTTAATTTCAATGGCCTCTCGCAGCATCCTGGGTAGATAACGGACTTCTTTTGCAAGGACCTGGGGTTTGTCAAACTTCATTGAATTTGTAGGTTTATCCATGACATGCTCGCAGACTGCAGACTTGTTTACGCGACGATGTTTGGCATCAGCTATATGTTCTTTGACGCGGGTACAAATACTTCGCTTTGTTTGTCCAATATAAGAGAGACCGCACTTACAGTCAAGCTTGTAAACTACTGCATCCTGTAAGGGGATGTTACATTTCACGGGTCTCAGGAACTGAGAAATCTTCCTCAGGGGCTTGTGCAGGGATGTGGCTATATATTTTTATTAACATTAAATGTGAAGCTCAAGAAAATAGTTTTAAGACAGAGAAAGACAGCTTGTTTATTTTGATAACGATTATTACGTCATAATATTTTTAATGGAGTGCAAGTCTTTATATTTTTTTAACGTATTTACATGCTTCAAAATGTATAAGCATGTTAGAGTAAGTAGATTGAGTTTTATAAAGTAAGGATTACAGGAATCCATTTGATCTATGTTAGTTAATATTGTTATCCATTTCTTCTGATGAATAAAAATCTGTTGAATGTTACAGCAATTTCCCCACATGCCACAGTACAATCCCATATGCCAGCCGTAAGTGAGCAGACGCATAATATAACGCATAAGTTGAGAAAGATGTGAGAGCCTTTTTTGGTTAGTAACACGATTTAATTGTCTGAGAGTCGTATTCTAGAACTCTTTTCAATGCTCAAGTCAGGACTTGAGTATGATTCAAAGCACTAGAAATCATACTCAAGTTCTTGCCATTAGGGTCGTATTTCCAGTGCTTGAAATCATACTCAAGTCTGCTCAAATCCTGACTTGAGCATTAAGTACAGTTCTGGAATACGACCCTAAGAGTTGTATTCCAGACCTCTATTGAGATATAGCATTGAATGCAGTTCTGGAATACGACCCTTAGAGTATATTTATAAATAAAGACGAACAGTTAGAAAGTTTTTGAATATAGTGTTTCCAATTTAAGTGCGTGTCTATATCGATACTCAGCATTCTAGCTGAATCTGCAATTTCTAATTAATTTCATTTATATCGATATTTATTAATCTCTAAAGCAGTTTTTTGGTAGGCCTAAATTGTATTAACTTAGTTTTTTTCAGATATAATTGTAGATTGTTGCGATTAAATCATTCCGCGATCGAGTCCAGAGTACTGCATCTAAGACATTCTTTAGTGAGTTAGCACATTTGCTAGATAAAATTGTAGAGACCTCATCCACAAACAGCACACTATGAAAATATATTGACTGATGGAGGTCGTTTACGTCTTAGGCTGTTATTTTCTCCATCCTTAGAGGATGAGGAGAAACCCTTCTGTACATATTTCTGCACTAAAATCGGCGGAATTTCGTTCACACCAAAACTAGATTTCATTTTAAGCTTATCAATTTTTAAATAAAGCGAATTATTGAATGAATTTATAACATTAAATTCTGAATGTTACTTATAGTTGTGATGTAGAGTTGTTGATATAATTTGCAATCGTTTTTGGATCATGATGAGTAATTGTCGGTTGTTTCAATATTATGTTTTGTGTAACTGTCCGGGGTATACGATTAGTTGCATTATTTATGATATTCTACTACATAGCTTATCTTTTATTTTTTGAATTGAATACCTTTTTTTTTTTTTTTGTATAAGTTACTTATCTTTTTTGAGTTCTGGACATTTATTTAAAAGTATTACAGTATACTTTACAATAATTATGCATAATTTAATTTTTTGCATGTGATAATGTAAAACTTTTTTTGACCCGATCATTTAAGCCTAAGAGCCAGATATGATTTCGTAGGTTTATTACGTAATTTATGATTCAATTTAAGTATGCATTTGTTTAATATTTTTTGAAGATTATTATTGAATGCATTGTATAGTTTTCGTTCAGACTATTTTCATGTTTTATTATATCGTTCCACGTTACGCTTTGGAGTACTTGCTTAAAATCAATTATTTTTGTAATATTTGAATATGTCAATACTTAGTATGTCTTGAAAAATATATGAAACTATCAATTCGTTCATCCTCAAATTCACAATAATGAAAAGTTAAGGCTTGCAAAACAGCATGGATATCGAATTTTATGAATGTTTTTGAGCTTACTCTTATTTTTCAACGTAATGTATATAACTGTAATATGTAGCTAAATAATTTTAGGAAAGTAGCGTGATTATAGTTGGGTTTACACAATTCAACCCCGCAATAATCAATAAATGGCACGTAACTTACGGGACCCACACAAAATTTTGATATGTCTAGTTAATTCGCTTGAGTGAATTTACTAAGCTTGTCAATATTTTGTAATTTAGTGGGTAGTTCTTAAAAAAATTAAATGAGATTTTTAAATTCCTCCATCTTTTGTTGGGTTGGCAAATTAATTCGGGTGATACACATATTAAAGTGTTTTTCGGTTTAACGTTTTAAATTTTAACGTAATAGTTTAGGTTCGACGTTATAAATTATTCTCCTTTTTGTTCCTGGTAATAAAATATAATTTATTAAAACTAGTTACATAGGTACGTGTTGACTTCAGTAACAGCTTTCTGTACAATTTAATAAAACCATTAAGTGTAGTATTAACTTAAAGTTCTTGAACAAAAATAATATTGTAAAATTGTAATACTATTATTAGTTTCTAGTTTTATTTTGCTACTTGGTGAATCATTTTTTTTGTGTTTTACCGTTGGTTAAGGGTCGGAACTGGGGACCTCAGCAAAACCATTGTCAATAAAATTTTACCTGCAGGGATTGAGCGCTAATGTGCATTTCGCCCATTTGCTGTGTGCACTTACACTGCACTGCTTGATTCATTGAATTTATTTCAACGTTGATTTACTTTTAGCGGTTATAATTTTATTTACTTAGAATCAAAATGTCTCGACGGGTGTGGTTACTGGTTGAGTGGTTGGACGATAAAAATGTGAACGTGTTGCCTAGCTATGGTATAGCAGACACTGTGATCAACAGGGAAAGTGATGCTAGACCTGGTCAAATAATACACATACAACCAAATAAGAATGGAAGCATACCGCGTAAAGCTCAAATTCTTAAAATTTCAGGTAATTTTTTTTGTTATTCAGTATTTTTTGTTAGTACCCACGTCTTTTGTATTTGTATTTTAATTAATTTTAACAATGAAGCTCAATTTTCTAAAATTTCAATTACAGATGATAAACGACAAATCAAGGAACACAAAATGTTTCTGCAGCGGCAGGATAATCAGGTGCAAAACGTTCTCAGCTTGTGCATGAGAACTATAAAGGAAATGAAACAAGACCCTTTAGTAAGTACATAGTCGTATATAAATCTACTTTTTAATATAATTTGATTGGTTTTACCACGTACGTATTTAAACATACCGTTAACTTCGCAGAAATTTTTAAAAGTTGAATTAAAAAACCATTATTTATTTACGTAATGAAAATGAATATTAATCAAGTATGTGTATCTTTTCTGTTCCTGCAGATCATGTCACCTTTCAATCATAGCTCTCAAGCTTTCTTTGGTGCAGGACCCAGTAGCACACCACAGATAACAGCCAATGTGGAATCCAATACAAGTACTAGTGACGATGAGGTATAGTGAATCTCAGCTAAATTTACATATTGTAAAAATTTTTTAATAAAAATTTAACCTCACAACGACGTGAACGCCGTAAACGATTTAAATTCTCAGTAATACAAAAAAATAACAGTTTGTGCAAATAAGAGTGGGATCTTAGATCCTTAACATTCGTATATATATATAATTACTTATAGTAAGTCAACCTACTGTGTAAATTATATACCGTGACTTATTTAAATATTTTCTTCAAGTTCTTAGGTTTTCGCAATTGTTACACATAGGAAATGAAACTATTTTTCCGGATTTAAATCGCGTATAGACATAACTGGTTGAAGACTGTACCACCTCAGTCGACCGTGACCATGGGACCTGTAAAGGGACCGGTTTGTTTGAAAAAACAAATATACGCGATTTAAATCCGGAAAAATAGTTTCATTTCCTATATTTTCTTAAATTTAACAATTAATTGCTGTTGAGGTTGTAAAAATTGAAATTGGTTTGTCTTTTTAGTCCAGCGAAAATGAAAGACTAGACACGATTGATCAAAGCACCCAAACTGATTTACCTTATGAACCACCCCCATTGGATCCTGTTCGGCGATTACAATTAATCACGGAAATGGAAAATGAATTGAAAGAATTGTACAAAAAGTTTAAGAAATCCACTCGAGCACAAACGAATGATTCATCTGCCGAGATATCAGAAAATGAAATTGAACAAAATCATAGCGAAGAAATGGGTACAATCGACGAGGCTAGAGGTGGGCAGAACACTGAGAACTCTGCTCTAGTAACTGGAGTTGATGAAATGAGCAGTACATCTAAAACCTTACAAGTTAGGAGAGTTTCAGCGCACACTACTAATAATATTGAATCGCAGTCTTTTTTAGCAAACAATGACATGGTATGGCAATGACAACACAACTAAATTTTTCGCGTTACTATGAATAATCTCTATGAATAATATAAGCACTTCGAGTTCTTAGGTTTTCGCGATTGATATTTTTTTCCGATCCACACTATATTTTCAAACCAAGGGTTTGTTTGAAAAAACAAATATAGCTACGCTAAAAACAGTTCCATTTTCAGGTGTCTATTGGGAAGGGAAATGTTACTATACCACAGCGCCTAATGAATGAAATCAATTGGGATTCATACACAACGGCAACTAGGCAATTGCTACAGGCTGTATTTCCGCGCAGGTATGTTTCTAAATAATAAAAACTGTAGAATCAATTTATGAGGTTATGATGATTTTCTTTCTATTAAGGTTATAATTTTTCAGAGTTTTAGCAACGCATTCTCTCACCGGAAAACAATCACCTGCTTTTTCCAACAAGCCACCTAAGAAATGCTTGGATCCAAAAATGGTAGAAGATATTATAAACACGGTTGCAGATCGATGCGGTGTACCAAAAAATTTAGTTAGGTAATTAGATTATAGTTGTGATAACAAAGCTTCTAATACACAAATCGAATTGGTGAAATTACAGGCCCATGGTACTTGTCAACAGCAGTGCTCCTCAGATCTTTGCGATTTAACGTTGAGAGTGGCATTGCAACTTTCATGGCTATCCACGACAGTTGCAACGTCTATGCGTGTCCCTTACCACCAGTCACACGACTTGTTCATCTTGTCGTAAAATAAATTAACTTTACATAATTATCTTATGTTTGCAGGAGTGCAATAACTGTCAAATGTACTGACGAAGCTAAGTTGTACCGTAATCGTCAGCAAAATAGATCCCAAGTTCTTCAATCTCGCCACGGAAATCTAGACAACCTTTCGCCATCACCGCCATCATCTGTTGAGTCTCGGCATATAGCAGACTAGAGATGTTTGTATAAAGTTATACAGTAGTAAAAAAGTACATGGCAGCTATCAGCGAAGTTTTAAATTTAGGACACTGCTTTGACTTAATGAGTTTATTTTGTAAGCACATGTACTTTTTATTAATATAATACTTCAAAAATTTTTCAAACAATAAATAATTCGTGTTTACAGTAAATTAATTTTGTTAGGATTTTGAACGTAAGTAATGTTTAATTTGATAATTTTTTAATTGTGTGTGACTTGAATGTATTAAATATATAATACCCATCAAACATATCACCGGTGGTTTTATTTCGAGAACCATAATAATTATTATAAAAAGTGATTGATTTGCTAGTAATAAGATATAGCAAATCAATCACTAATAGATAAAGATATCTAAAAGCGCTATAATAAATAACATAAATTTGGCGGGGTATGCAGAACCCTGCAAGCAAAAAATTATGAAATGAAACGAAAAGATCCCTCAATACTGCTTTGTTGCTTGCATATTATTAGAAACGAAACGATAAAGAACACGTACACATTCAACTTTGTATAGTGCTATCTCCCTCTAAGTTCATATTATTAACTTGGAGACTTGTCATTGGAGCTGTCAAAAAGTTAGGTTATATTTCGTTGTATTTTATTCATGTGGTACTTAGTGGTATGTCAATATAATTTTTGTTCACTTTCTTGAGCGGATAAAATTTACTAACTGATTTTGACATGGAAGGCATAGAAGATACTGTAGACGATACAGAATACGTAGCGTCGGAACATGATCGTCTAGTAAGTGCAATATCGAAGTTAGACAAGACGCAACACATTTCCGAGCCTACTCGCAATGAGCCGACGAATATCAATTCAGAGTTTAATTTAATTAAAAGAACGACGAAGCTAGACTTGAGTAATGTTGTTAATGTATTAGGTGACACCGCACGTCATACACAGATTGGTAAGAAACTTAAGAAAAGTCAGGATGCGTCCACAGTCTTGTCAAAACCATTGGAGAGGCCGCAGGTTGAGCGTATCAAGCGATTGACAGGATACGATGCAACGAAGAAGAGAGTCGGAAGATGGGACCCTGTTGTCGCTAGGAGTCACACTGTGGACTATGTATCTTTTCCCTTAAAAAGTGTCTCTGCAAAATTGCAACCAACTGAAGAGTTTATATCAAAATTCGAGCTTAAATCAGCATTAGAGAAAGAATTAGAAGAATTGGATCCTCCAGCAATGGTTGAAGAAGAGGATGAAGAAGAAAAACTGTATCCAATGACGTACCAGGAGATGGTAGAGCACAGGCAGCATTTGGCTAAGATGAGAGCACAGCAGTCATATCAGGCAGCTAAAGCTAAGCGGCAAAGCAAGATAAAGAGTAAAAAGTATCATAGGTAATTAATTGTTTATATTTTCTAAGTCTTATCAGTTGTACCTAGAAACTACTGAGCAACTGAAGATAATTAAAGAAGAAAACTGAGAGAGAAGATACCTGCCTCCGTGGCCGAACAGTTACCATGCCGGACTGCCACGCAGAGGTCCCAGGTTCGATTCCCGGGCCAGGAGAAATAGTTGTATGGCCTACAATTATTTCTCTCATGAGTTTGGGTGTGATTTGTGGTTGTCTGTGTGTGTGTCCATGGCACCCGTGACTCAGGGTTTCCCTAGTGCGGGGCTATGTTAAGTGTGTGGGTTATTTATTTATTAATTGTTACATTTTTGTAAGTTACAGTTTTGTTAGTTACATTGTAACTTGAATTTAGTATTATTTTATATTTTCATATTTAATGTCCAGAATACGGAAGAAAGAAAAGCTTAAAGCACAGCTGAAAGAATTTGAAGAATTACAAAAGAAAGATCCTGAAGAAGCTTTAAAGAAACTGGAGGCTTTGGACAAAGTTCGTGCTTTGGAGCGACATACACTAAGGCATAAAAATACTGGAAAATGGGCTAAAAGTAAATTGGTTCGCGCCAAGTATGACAAAGATGTAAGTAGAAGGAAAATATGTACAGTAACACAAATATGCCATTGTCTATATTGCGTAAATAATTATGCTTTGACAGAGAAAGGCTCTCGAAGTACTTCATTCATGAATATTAAAATTGTTTAATAGATAAAGGACAGTACAGTTAAATATTAATAGTTTTTAACATAAATAACAATTACTGCTGTTTGTTGTTTAGGTAAGGCAAGAACTAGCTGAACAACTGGCTGTAAGCAGGGCATTGACTCAAAAAACTCAAGAGAATGATTCTTCGGATGATGATCCAGAAATAAATGAAACTATATCAGATATACCACTTTCACAAGACCCTATGAATCCTTGGATGTTGAAAAGATCAGATAAACCCAATGTTGATGAGTTGTTTGACTTTGGATATAAGAAACATGTTCAAGGAAGAATGTTTAAGAAGAAAGATGATAGTGACTCTGGTGAAGATGAACCTAGCGTCTTAGAAAAAATTAAAGAAGGTGTAAGAAAACTCAATGAACATGATGTAAAAGCTCAAGATGATACCAGCATGAAAGCTGTTTCATCCAATTCAGAAAAAATATTATCTGATCATGAAGATTACACCAGTTGTAATAAAGGTAAAAGGACAAATACTAAAGCAAACACAGCTCCTGTTGATATTACTAAAAATTATGAAGAACCACAAACAAAGAAAAGCAAAAAGTCTGTTCAAAATGTTTCCATAAAAAAGGGTGAAAATGTTAGTACAAAATTAGTAGCCACTTCAAAATGGATTGTTGAGTCTATAATAGACAATAACCAAAGCAAAGTTGGCACAAATTCAGAAACAAAACCCCCACATGACATTTTGACAGCATTTGATTCTCTTGAAGATGATATAGCTGGCAAGGTAGAGAAGAAATTGCAGAAACTTAGAAAAAATATAAAAAAACTTGATAGAATGAAGCCAAATAAAACAGAGAACACCCAAGAAAAGAAGGATTTTGATAATTTGGAATATTTTAAGATGAAAAATCAGAAAGTAAAGGCAATTATTGACGAGGAATTGATTGAAACTGCAAGTAAAAAAATAGAAGATTCTAAGTGTTTAAGTAAACCACTTTCTAAAGTGATAGAAACTGCTCAAGTCACAACTTCCCAGGAAAACTTTAATTCCAATATCGACCCAAGCAGATTCATAGAAGTGAAGCCCAAGTATTTGAACACTGCACTACCAGGTGGTGCAAATGACTATGATCTCTTAGATGATGATGAACAGGTTGTGCCCAAGGTTAATATAGAGGAAGTGTTTGAGGAAGATGATGTTGTAGATAGTTTTAGACAAGAAAAAGAAGATGAGATAAATAAGGACAAGTTGGAAGATGTTGATTTAAGCCTCCCTGGTTGGGGAACCTGGGGTGGCAAAGGTGTAAAACCTACTAAGAGGAAAAAGAACAGGTTTATTCTCAAAGCTGCACCACTAATGCCGCGTCGTGATATAAATAAGGGCGACATCATTATCAAAGAGTATAAAGACCCAAAACTTCAAGTGCATAAAGTTTCAGATGTCCCATTCCCATTCACAACTGTGAAGGATTATGAAGCCTCTATAAGAGCTCCATTGGGCAATACGTTTATTCCTGAAAATGCTCATAAAAAGTTGATCAAGCCTAGTGTGATTACTAAGGCTGGTACAGTTATTGATCCGATGGATGAGGATGAACTACTTGGAAAGAGAAATCATAACTTTACTAATGAATCTGTTTTAAAATTATTAGGTCAAAAATAAAGACCAGTTCATATTACTTAGTTTTATTTATAACTTACAATCTAAATTATTCTAAACACCAACTCGTACAGGTGGTGACACAAGTATGACCCCATCTCCTCTTACAAATAGCATAGGTATGGTTCTTTTAGTTGTCCTGTACACTTCTTCATAAGTCTCCTCATCAATTTCAACTGTTGTTATGGTTTCTTCTGCGTCTCCTAGAACCATGTTCAAATGCTGATCGTAAGCCTGTAAAAAATAAAATCATAATATTATAAGAAACAAGTTCAATAATAGGCTAATGTTGAGTTACGTGCAATAAAAGCCATCATACAATTCAAAATACAGTGTTAACCTGGTCAGGTATAGTTTTATAAATAAAATGTAAAAAGTATACGAACATGTAATTTGCCTCGCAGTTCGCGTTCGTTTCGCATCTTGACGTATATTCTCTCGTCTAAGCTGAGTCGTATTAAATCCAAGGGCTCTTTAACGGTCATTCCCGCTACCTGAAATCGAAGACATCTCAGTGATATTTCGACCTTTAGTTTGAAGACTAAACTGTTGAAGTCAAATAGGGCCTTTTTAATACTAAAAGGGCAGAGAAGGTTCTAATTTCGTTATAAAATCAATGTTTGATCTTCTATTTCAATCACAAACCGAAGAAACGCGATTTTTAAATTCTTACGAGTGTCTGTTGCTACTTACATTTTCACCATCATCAGCCATGATTCTAACGGTAGTAATTTAAATTAGGTGTTTATCACGATTAATGGCGAATAACCCACTATTATAATAATTAATTATGATATTCAATTTTTTCAAATAGGTTATATTTACGTTACGTCAAGTAATGCGGCGCCCAGGCCCTCGAAACTGCCATACATCGATTTTTTTATATGAAATTAGACCATTTTTACTGCCACCCACACAAAAAAATAACATGTACCGCCATATGCAATATATTTTTTTTTAATTGGCAGATTTAGAATATAAGTACTTATTATCCATTTGCGTTTTCCGTGATCTTGGTGTAATTTATACCACATTACCATATTATATACTGGATATATGTCTATTTTATATGTGTTACAAAAGGATTTTAGGTCTATTTAAAATAATTGTAATTGGCTTAATGAGACGAAATGAAACTGCTTATTATGGCAATACCTATAACCTATCAAATCCCGAATGGCGGCTATTTTTCTTGTCTGTTTTCCGTATCAGCTGCTCTGCGCCTGCGGTGTTTTGTGTTTATTCTGCATATTTGTCCTGTGATTACATCGAGTTGAGCTTCGGTTCCTCTGTATTTGCAGTCGACCCTGTGCTTTTTTGTATTTTCCCTTCCTATATTCACTTATTTTACTGAAAATCTCTTTCGGGAAAGTGACTCTTTTTTTTGTGATATATTCGTGGTTTTTCGTATGAAATGGGTTGTACAAGTCATCGAAACTGTGTAATTTGTGGCAAACAAGAGAGTAACCCGAACGAATTCTACGACGATTCTAAGTTTTTTGCCAAATTTCCACTGGATGAAATCCGGTAAGTAAACATTATAGTAACCTATGTCATGTTAGCATAACGAAACATTTGGTACTATACTTTGTGTCATTTAGCATGTCAGTAGCGATCGTTGGCCCGACTTTCATCTCGAAGTCACATTTCGACAGCCACTGAATACCCTATAGAACATAAATTAAAGCCTTTATGGCTTAAAATTTAAGAAAAATGTGAAATTGAGGCATATCATCATTGACTTATGCATATCATTGTAAATTTGTAAGTTGTTATGTCACATTTTTAGCATTATGTTTTTATACTTTTTAAAAAATTTAATTTATTATTATTTAATTTTAATTTATTATTATTTAGTGACTCGAATTATGTGTCCGAGAGTGTATATATAAAAATCAATTAATATTTACAATAAAGACTGCTCCATTACTCTTATGTTCAAGTAATTTTCAGTTGAAGGTAAATATGGTGCACATTGTTAAGTTTCCAGTAGAAGCTGCATATGGTGCATTTTGTTAAGTTTCCATTAGAAGTATGGTGTTTTTGAGCCCTTAAATTTTTGAAAGCAAAATTAGCCTGTACTGCAATGATGTTAAGATTTAAATTAAATGTTTTTTTTTTTATATTTCATCACATGTCACCACATTTGTATAGGTTAACTTTGGACATTTTACAAGGTAGAATCTTAAAATTAAAGATTATTTATCCTTTTCTAGTGAGTTGGGTTAATATATAAAGAACAACAATTAAATTGATGACCAGTTTGCGTATGCATCCTCTGATATTGATCTTTCATGTAAAATCTTTTTAACTAAAAAACTATGAAAATTTGTTTGATAAATAAGTATCTATACTTTCAGCTGCAAGGAGTGGGTTAGAGCTGTTGGCATTGAGGATTTGGCACATATGCCTATTGAAAAACTTAATGAACGACGCCATATCTGCGGAGATCACTTCGAAAAAAGTCATTTTAGTAAGGAAATGAATTGTTTGAAGAATATTGCTGTACCTAAACTGCAATTATCCTCACCTCCACTGACTGATAAACAACTTCAACATTTTCCTCTGCATACTGCTGCAAAGAACAAAACAGGTTTGTCTTATGATACCGAAAATACATTGGATGAAAATGAATTGCAAAACTGCTTCCAAACCAGCGAAAACCAGTCCGCTCTACGATGCCGCATAGAATCCTACAGCGGGCTTGTTTTCAACTTAACAATGATTCTAGTATATAATAACGCGAAATTGAAATCATAATATTATTTTCTTTTAAAGACTTAATTTTTGACTTGAACTGATGTCTCAAATAATTAATTTATGTGTACTTTGTGTGTCAATTCAATTTTAATTGATTTTAGTGCCTATACCTGATGCACCAATGGCTTCCACAAGTAAAGAACATCATGTTGCTGACCCTGTCCTGAGTAAGTTTTTTGTAGACTTAATCTATAAATTTTGAAATTATTTCTAATTACATGATTACTTTTTATATTTCTCCTAACAATCATAAAATTTAATTTCAGTACCTGACACGTCAATGCCTTCCGTAAGTAAAGCACCCTTGATTGCTGATCCTAAATTGGGTAAGTTTTTTATAGACACTATAATCTAAGTTCTTTTTACAGCAAGAAATGATTTTATGTTTATTTTTAATGTCAATCATGATTTTTAATTTCAGTGTGTTCAGTCAGGTACAAACCTGACGCTTCATTACCTTCCACAAGTAAGGAACACCTTGTTGCTGATGTTGTCTTAAGTAAGTTTTTTCTAGACACTATAGTTTTTTTTTATAAATATTTACTTTACATGAATATTTCTTGTGTATTTTTAAAATTTAATTGAAAATTGTAATATTATTTGTGTATACAACAATTTAAACGTGTGCTGTAAGAATATATTGTTTTCTACAATTTGTAGCAAATTAATAAAACTATTTTAAGAAAATATTTATGACTACTTTTATTTCTTTTCTAATTATTAATAAGAACCTCCACAACCTATTATCAAAATTTTTTACTGTTGTCGATATATTATGGACGTCACTAGTATCGATAACGGAACGACATCACTAATATTGACTGACAGTTGTTATTTTTATGTTGCTTACTTTGATTGTCAAATAGGTTATTGTTCTTAAGTTGGCACTGTCCGTTATCGGCGTAATGTTGGCTAAAAAAGAGGACTATCCTTCAAAAAATTTGTTTGGAGTGCCGACTCTTCAACGTAGTGGTTAGATCCTCTTTGGCGGCGCCTAGTGTTGTTGTGTTCATAGACAAAAATATCGATGCGTTCGTATAGTGAAATCTGAAAAATTTTTATTCTGAACGCAAGTTTTGTCTATGATTTTGCGTCTACTTCAAGTTAGTGTATTAAAAAAAGAAATAGAGATAGATAATGCTTCCTACTCATTGATAACTAGCGTTTTTTCGTTCACACAAAACTTAGTTTCGGTAGAATCCGTTAAACCAAAAACGATCTGTCAATTTCGTTTGGTTACGCGTGCGTTGCATTAAACTCTGAAATTATTTTGGAAATGACGTAAAATATTGCCAAATAAGTGAAAGTTTAATTGGTACTATGGTGCGAAGCGGGTAAGATACAATCTAAACATTTATGATATCCGTTTGCGATATTTTTAATCCGTAAACACGGTTGGGTGTAACCAAACAATGCATGACAGTCCTAATGTTTTCGGTTGTTTTTAGGCGTGATCGCGACCGTAGGCGGTCACACAGTCGTTCGGCAACTCCTGATCGTAAGCGGAGACGATCACGGTCTAGGAGCCGTGACCGATCATCGAAATCTTCAAAGAGGAAGCGCAGCCGTAGTAGAGACCGTGATTCCAAGAGAGATCGGAGTAGGGATCGTGATAGAGATAGAAGCCGGGATAGAGACCGTGATCGGGATAGAGACAGAGATAGAAAGAGGTAAGATAAAAACAAAACGGACTAATGTGGTAGATAATCACACTAAAAATGGAATTCTCTGTTCTGTACTACTACCACCGAAAAAAAAGGTCTTTGGAAAGGCGAGAGTTTAAAATAGATACCCAAAATAATAATATTCATTTATTTGTGATATTGATGTTACAACCTAGAATTAGGATGTTGATTATTTCTAGAAAGAATTGAGCTCAGGACCGATTCATCAATCAATGAATCAATAGCCAATACAATTGAACTTTGAAAGATTTATTCATGATAAATGAAAATTCTGAATCAGAAATGTTAATGAAAAATGTATTTTTTGCTGTTACTTTTGGAGAATACCATAGCTTAATTATTAGGTACTAATACAATTAGTAGTAATTTCTGTCTAAAATTTTAATACGAATAATTTATGATAAAAATAATTAAGTATAAAAGCAAACATTTTTTTTAGTAAAAAAAGATCGATGTACACTGCAACTAGTGGCACCAATGAAAAGTCACAATAATAAATAATGAGAACTTTACTGTTTGACAAAGAGTAATGAATCAGAAATGACATGTCTTGGAATAATACTTTCCTATTTAGGCATGGAATATTTTTATTTACTGATTGAAAAAAATATTATGTAGGTTGCATTAAGTAGCAAATAAGTGTAGACAGTATAATATTATGTATTATAAAAATATAAATGAATATATAAATAATTTTTTGGTTGCCATTTTTCTTAATTTCTCTGTTGGCAGACAATGTTTACGCTTATTTGTATAGTTTGTACAAATTCTCATAATGCATCTTTTGTATTTTGACTGATTGTCTGTGATTTTTCTGACAATTGGCAACTTAAGAGTGCAACACAAGACTGAGCTCAGGCTGACTAATTAGCCAATCTTTAGCATGCCATGTATGAAGTTTGTATTTTGTATAAAAGTTGAATAAATTATTAGGTAATAAATATATTCACACAACCATAAATACGGTACATGTGGTTAGTTAACGCCAACTATAGGTCTCGAAAGACCAATCTGAGCTCAGCGTACCATTTTTGCTTTGTTTGCTATGGTTGTGTCATTCTTTCGTGCAAATTATCTAAAATTCTAGAAAATAGGCGTTAAGTGCTGTTTTGGAGTGCAAAAATGATAGCTGCAGTATTTCATATCATCTGAAAGTCTTATTTCAATAAATTTTCAATTTACTGTTTATCGAAATAATTTTTTTGTTACAAGAAACAAAAGTAAAGCTTATACCCCTGCAATATGGTTGCTTCTTGTTTGAAGGACTAAATTAATAACTCAAATTCATCATTGTTCAGCAATGAACTGCTAGATGGCGGCAGCTCATTGATTGAAATTCCCTTAACCAAAGGACATGTTATATTGACATATATACATATGATGCATTTAGACAGCGAAAACATAAACATTTAGTTGTTTTTACAATTTTTTTTTTTTTTACTTTTACGACGGCATCGTCGTAAACCAAAAGAGATAGCACTACATTGATTTATGTCAAACACGGGAATCGAAAATACGTAACGTCATCTTAAATGCCAACTGTCCCCTTAATTTTACCGTTTTTGGAGTGCCCTTTCACATCCGTATCCAGTTGTTAAAGGGAAGTACATCAAATGTTAAAACCAATATTTGGCCAAATGTTTTATTGAATTATTCGCATGATTTGTAATGAAATGGACAAAAATATTGACAATGAGAACAATTAAGTATGAATAAAAATGCGTCGCTGCAGCATTACGGGATGCGGCAGTTGAAAAAGCGGAAATCAACCGAATGTTACATTACACCGGCATGTGTTATTTTTCTGCCTATAAATCATACACTATAGCCAAAATATTGCATGTAATTAGACTCATTTAAGTAGTTTTTCATAAGTCTTGCCGAAGTTTGCTTTGGTTTTTTCAGATTGCCTGTTTGTTAGTATATTTTGATGATTGTTGATGATGATTATTTTGAGATAGTGTTGTTCTTGTAAGCAGACATATTATTGATATTCTGTTATTGAAAAAATTCACTACGAGGTTTTTATTATTTCATTATTATTATTTTTAAAGTTTACCTACAAATTAAAAAAGTAAGTAAGAATGGTTGGAAATTATAGGACTGCCAAACATAAACATTGGATCAAATACCATCTTCGTTTGTTCGCTCCATTCAAATTTAAATAGAACTTTGAATGTAACAAGATTACATGAAAATGCAATTCCATCATTACATTTATTGGTTAAATATTTTTATTGGGTAACTTTATTTAATTTTGATTAAAATGGCTCATTACTTGCCTAGTAATAAATAACAGTACACAAATTTGCAAACATAAAATGCTGTATCAACAGTTTCAACATTCAAGCCATACATTTGCATGTCGATATTGATTTATCTATGATTATGGTACAACATAAATCCGCCATTTGTGGTGGACATTTTTGGTTTAGGTAGGGACATTTATTCCGTAGATAAGGCAGCTCCTTTCCTTTATTTTTTTCCGTCCTCTAAGGAAATTCCAAACAAAAAAAGAAAAGCAATATGTATTGATGGTATTGAACTTTCAACAATATGTCAACAGGGTAAACTTTAAATTATATTAACAATCCAGAATTTGTTATTTCTCTTTAAATTTGAAACTATGACCAATCAATATCAAGGTTTTGTAATGTTTCAAATTAAGAATGTGTGAGTTTTGGCGAGCATGAGTTCTGATAGGTAATCGAGGCTTAAGGGACTTCCATCGTTTCTTTTCTACCGTGATGTTATTGTAGAATGTGAAGTGTATAAATTACTATGTAATACTTGCTGCATTTAGTAAGTATTTGATTATTGATTTCTGTTTTAGTGATAAGCGAGATGATAAAAGCAAGTCAAGCAAATCATCAAGGAAGAAATCACCAGACAAAGACAAAGACAAGGACAAGGATAGGTCAAAGACCAAAGATGAGACTGCGAAATCTGAATCCACAGAATATGATCTTGGATCAGTTGATAAGGTAATTATGGATAATTGCCTAGCAACTTATCATAGATTCCCAAACTTTTTGGCTCACCGCACCGCCCACCACAAAAAATAATTGAAATTATGTACTTTTTATATTAACTTAACACAAAAAAATCTAAAGGAGAAAAAAAGTATACTTGGAGTGGAGTTTTATAGATAATTCAGGTCTTTTTTCCCTGGAGAGCATCAACGTCCCTCAATTGCTTCCGAGGTCCCTACCGCCCTAGGACTCTAGCGCCTACTGGGCGGTAGGGACCACATTGGGAACCTATGATCTAGATGGCAAATAAAAGTATCTTCTAACTAAACAATTCACAAATACGAGACAGTATGGGTAAAACCTAAACCATAGAAGATATTAGGAAACTGTCTTGGGAACCATTAAGTCTTTTCTTGTGAAAACAAATTTGGCATAGTCAATTTTTAGGTCAAGCGTGAGTTGTCCATAAAAATGAATAAAGTTGATCGAAATTTTTTTTAGTGCTGATCGACTCAGTTTCATAAAGGGATCATTTAATTGTATGGAATGAAAAAATTGGGGCAGCAGAAGTTGGTCAAATTTCATAAAATATTTTTTCATACAAAATGAATATAATTGTCAATTTTTTTAATGCTGACCATACATTTAGTATATCCATAGATTGGCCCTGAACTATTGGAGACGTGACTAAAACAAAAATACATCTGTGTGCGTATAATGTGCATGTGTGCAAGATAAATAGTGTTGCGCCATCCACTGATTTAACTTTAATATCGATTAACATATTACACCGGCATTTCACTTCGTCGTATTTACCAAAATATCTTATCGCAAAACGCCGAGACGTTAATTAACTAATTAATTAATGATTCAATACAAAATTAAGAAAGCTACTGTCACCTTCTGGCAGTACCATAGGATGGTAGGTAAACAATGGGGACTTTCACCCAAGATAACACTATGACTCTACAAAACGGTGATAAGACCCACGATCAGTTATGACGCGATAGTATGGTGGTCACGAACCAAGCTGACGACCGCAACCAACAAGCTGGACAAATTCCAAAGACTAGCCTGCATGGCGACGATTAGCTGCATGAGGACAACTCCAACTGCGTCCCTCGAAGCGATGATGGACCTGCGACTCCTCCCACTGTTCATTAGACAGAAAGCGGCGTCAACAGCAGTGCGTTTAAACAGAGCAGGCCTTTGGAAGCACATGAGGACCCCTCATACAGAAATTCTTTATAAGACTGTTAAAGAGGAACCGCTACTGGAGACAGCTGTGGATAGGATCTCAAAACAATATATCTTTAACATAAAATACAAGATACAACTGTTTGAAGATCCCAACGAAGTAGTTTCGAAGATAAAGGGGAGAATGATCAATTTTCGTCTATTTTCTTAAACAACTTAAAAATATTTATATTTCAAAATTACAAAAATATATACTTGAGAACTTTCCCTCCCAATAGTGACTTCAAATTCAGAATTTATTTATTTACGTTACATGTTTTGGTCACACAAATGCATATGTGTACCAAAATTCAAAATAATCAGTCCAGTAGGTTTGGAGTAAATTGACTGTGACAGACGGATAGATGGGACACACAAGTGATCCTATATGAGTATCATATTTCGGAACAGAACAGAACTCTAACAACAACATATCGCTGATTTGTTGTTGACAAGAGTAGTACTACACAAAAATCCATTAATTGTAAGACATACCAGCATGAATAATGTGGGTACAGAACCAGAACGTAACTTTACTCTTTGCTTGCCTCTAAAGGAAAAGCATTTTTCCTTAAAGTGTTTGCTGCATATTTTTGAAAACTTTTTGGAACCCAGTCTTCTCTCTTTAGCATTATAAACCATTTCTGTCGTACTTCAATGTTTTGAGGAAATCTGAATCAACAACAATAATTAACATAAAAAAAAATAGGTGCCTCAACTACGCTATTAAAAGAAATTTTCGTTTTAATGTAGACAAAAAATAATGCAGTAATGCAATATTAATTAAATATAAAGTACTAAAACCACAAATTTCTGGTTCAACAATATTAAGTATGAAGATGATTTCGGCTGTATGCAAGACACGCCTTTGCTTTTCTTTTTTTCAGTTAATGACATCTCGATAACGTATTATCGATTGCGTCAATCTCTATGAAGTGGGGTTAAAAATTTCAGAACTTCAAGGGTTATTAATGCACTTGAATGGTATAAGTTTACGGATATATTTATGTAAAATTAAACGTAAAACTTAAAAAAAGTAAAACTTTTGTGGTAGTGCTTTTAGGCTTGTATTCCAGAACTTTATTCAATGCTCAAGTCAGGATTTGAGCAGACTTGAGTATGATTTCAAGCGCTGGAAATACAACCCTAATGGCAGGGACTTGAGTATGATTTCGAGTGCTTTAAACCGTACTCTTATCCGGACTTGAGCATTGAATAGAGTTCTAGAATACGACCCTAAGACAGCTAAAAATGTAAATAGTACTTACATGTGAAATGTACAATTCTGCGAGTTTTCTTTTTTAGATGAGTTACATCCGGGCACTGAACACGTTACCATGAGTAATAAACGTCCGTTTAACACTATTTCACATTTTAAAACCAATTATTTTTCAAAAATTAACGAAATTTGTTTCGTTGTCAGCTGACACTAGGTTCATACAGGCTCATAGCGTATAATGAAGTGGTCTTGTCTACCCATTTCGCTCTAACATATGTGTATGCTAACGCTCTTTCACTTGCATTGGCAATCTATGGGTACCTATGTACTAAATCTATGATGCTGACAGACTCATCTTCTTAAAAGGACGATTTCATTGTATGGTATGAATAAAAATCGGAACTGCAGAAGTTTGTGAAATTTAATAAAATGATTTTTGATAAAATCCCTGTATAACCCTTACCTATTGCAAATAAATATGTATTCATAACTGATGGTGACATATTTGACAGCAGTTATGCACTGGTTTATTTACAAGATACACATATTTTGTACTTTAAATTGGTGATGCTATTTTGTCCCTAACAATATTGTTGGAAGAAACTTAAAATTTTATTTAAAAAAAAGTACAACATGATTCATATTCATCAGTTATGTCACTATGTAAATCTTCGGTCTGCGTCTGTAGCTAAGTAGGTAAGAGAGGTGATCCCAGTGTGGCAGTAGATGCTGGTTTGCGTTCAATCAGATCAAAGGGATTTTTCTTTATGTTGTTCGGTCTTTGTATCAAAAATAATTTTCGAAAAAATATATGAATAAAATGGTAGTAAAAGCATCATGATACTCACTACGTGAATAGATTTATTTTGTGCAATGCGATCAGTCTTATATGTTGCATGGTTTGCATGTTGGCGAAAAAAAAAATTTTTTTTTGTTGAAGTTGCTCATTACACTCGTTATGATAATCATAGGGATAATATATGATTAAGTCTCTTTTTTGCTAATAGTGCATTACTATAATAATTTGGAACCTTAATATTTAGCAGATTTTAAAAATTTTGGTAAGCACTAGGACTATGCAATATTTAGTCTTTACACCTATATTAAATTGAATTTTTCTCACGCGTGTCACACAACCGTAGTTTTTATTTTTTATTCATAGACAAACTAGAATCAGCCCCAACTATCGTATCGTTCGATATCAAGTAACGTGTGAAATTGTCAAAATTGTTTGCTGTTGACATTTCATTTCGAATAAAACTTCATCTCGACTGATATTAGAATTGAGGTCATATCAAATTGTTTTGTTTTTCACAGATGTTCGAAATTGGAATGTAATAATAACATCGAATTCGATGTTATTATGAAGCAATAATAATATTTTGAAAGATAAGAAAACACAAAACAGTTTACCTTTATGCTGGTCGTAATTTGCGGTTTTTTAGTTTATGATATGTGTGTAGATAAAAGACATTTTTGAATAAGAAAAAAGGTAGATGTGTCATCTTTGTGTCTAAAGCTCAGAGTGGCACTGCAACTGTTAAGCAACAAACATATCGTTTACCATCAGGCGCATGACGAGTTGTCTCGTCACATAGTCACAAGTTTAATTTTGTGAGGTTGGGGATTTTCGTTATGTTATGGCGTTTAATGTTTAAACAATACATATATGTACTCATAATTGTACAAATAGGAAGAAGAGCAAAGCCGTCTCGAAGCCGAGATGCAGAAGCGTCGCGACCGCATCGAGCGTTGGCGCGCGGAGCGTAAACGCAAAGAGCTGGAGTCAGCTAAGAAGGAAGTGCAGAAAGGTAGCATTGTGACTAACATGCAACTGCCCACTGTTAAGAAGTGGTCTTTGGAAGATGATTCTGGAGATGAAGGTACGAAAATTTCTCACCAAAAATCTCTTTTCTTACCCTTTTACATATTGCAATAAATCTTCGAGTTCATGACAGCAGTAGAGCTCGTTGTGAAAGAGTTCGTCCTGGGTAGTACTGCCACCTTACTTATTTCTGTCGCCAAGCAATAATGTCACCATTACTGTGTTCCGGTTTTGAAGGGTATGGTTGCTGGTAAAATTACAAGCACTTGTCAACTTATGTCTCAGGGTCACGGGCGCAGTCGTATTGCCCCTCAGATCTTTGTAATTTAAAGCTCTGAGTGGCACTGCAACTGTTAGGGACAGCCGTGTAGCTTACCATCAGGCGCACGACTTGTTCGTCCCGTCACTTGATGTTATAAAAAAAAAAGTTGATAATGCAATTTTAATTTATAATGGTTTAATTTAACAACTTTATATATAATAAAAGCCTTAGCTTGTATGTCAAAGAAGACTCAAGGCGCGTGTCCACGCTAAGAAAAGTCGCTGGGTCTATGCAAGAATTCGTGTCGTTTCTACACACGAACTGTGTACACTGCTTCTCGGCGCCGGACAAGAAAATATCTTGCCTACCCCCAATTCGACGCGCTCTGCCGCCATTGTATGTCTGCGTATTGTCAGTAAACGAACGTTTATGTGCGTGGACTGGTGTTGCAAAGTACCACTGTTACACCACTAATTTTATTGCGACTAATAACGAAATAAATAATTAATAAAACTTTAAAAATATTTACCTAGTATTTCATTTACTCGCCTCAAAGCCGCGGCCAATCAGATGTATGGAGGAATACTTTTTTACATTTTAGTATCCTCATGAATAATTTTATTTTCTATACCATCCAGCAACTTATCAAACGTGGAAATTTTCGTACGAAAATATTTGATAAACTTTTCCTCATGTTGTCGCAGTATAGGTCTCCAAACTCATCTTTTTGTTGCAAAATTGGACGAAACCAGTAAATTCTCTTGTATCTTCTTTTATAAATTTTTCTATACATATAATATGCAATCACCATTTTTTTCCTTGGTAGTCAACATGTTTCTTCCCACAGTCGGTAGTAAAACAACAGCTACCTGGAAGACTCGTTAATGCACTGACACGTTTAACCTGCACCCGTCTTCCCAAAAGCATTCGTATCGTATACATACTCATAATTTTTTGTTTGCAATGGACACGACATATTTTCGTGGCTAGATCCGACAAAGTTCTTGTTGTGTACAAGACCAGTCTCATCTTTTAACTAGCAGACGCGTCAAATTTCTTAGCGTGTACACGCGCCGTCAGATATACAAACTGTTATAATGCATTTAAGCTTAAAAAAGCTAATCTGTTTTTAACCGACTTCAAGAAAAGGAGGAGGCTCTTAATTCGACTGTATTTTTTGTGTATATGTTTCGCGATTGCTCCGATTAGTGAGCCGATTTCGGTGATTCTTTTTTGTTGGAATGAGGGTACTTCAGTATTGGTCCCAATTTCAATTTGTAGACAACATTCCACCTCTAAGGGTGCCAAACTAGAGGATGAACCCGATTTCGCGCACCTTCCGGTAATCGATTTCAATAAAACTTGGCAAATAGATGTATTTCCACGAATTTTTGAGGTCGTTTTTTTTTTACGAAAAAGTTACATTTATCTAGTTTCATATTAGCAATGTTCAGCCTGTTCTTCAATGGCTGGAATTTCTTGATAGTTCACTTTGAAATCAGTGAATTGCAAAGTGTATCATGTAATTTGGTCCTGTATAGGTTTCGATAATTTAAAATTAATCTGTACCTTTTTCCAGGTGAAGATGGAGAAGGAAAAGAAAAACAAGTTGAAGAAAAGAAAGAGGAAGAAGACGAAATTGACCCTCTGGATGCATACATGCAAGAGGTGCAACAGGTTAGTAAATGCGTGGCCATCATTTAGTCTGCGGGGCACGGGAGGGGAATGTTATCATTCAATTACGTATACTAAAATAATTGTTCAAGTCGAGTTATAGCAATTAGTAGATTTTTTATTGTACTGAACTAATATTGGTCATTATTGGGTTTCAGGAAGTACGTAAAGTAAACCAAATGGACCAGTCACGTGGCATGATAAGTGTGCCCTCATCCGGCGCGGGTACAGTCGTCGTCTTAACAGGTACAGCCAAGAAGAAAATCACCGAAACAAAGAACAAAGGTGAACTAATTGAACAGAACCAAGACGGATTGGAATATTCCTCCGAGGAGGAGACGGAGGATATTAAGGATGCCGCCGCGAACCTTGCGTCTAAACAGAGGAAGGATTTGGCCAAAGTTGACCATTCCAGTTTGGAATATATGCCTTTTAGGAAAGCTTTTTACACAGAGGTGAGTATAATCAACTATTCATGGCATAATTTTTTTTGTCTTTAATTTACTACTTTTGTTTCTTATTTAGAGATGGACCTAACCATGACAGTCAGTCTGAAATTTCAAATTGTAAAATTAGAAACTGTGTTCGAAAATGGAATGGACATAATAAATAATTCGAGTGTTTAACCTTCAGAGTGACTTTCATACTAGACTGCTTGAACCAGCGTAAGGCTGCCTTTCCACCAGAGATGTGCACATAGCGAGGCGGTATGCGAGGAAAAACTCCACCAATAGGATTACTTCATTTTCCTAGCCTCGCTTACCGCAGCTCCGTTAACCCTTTTATACATACAAAATACCGAGAAATGTCTGCGAGGAATTTGTACGAGGGATGCGGGCGAAGGATGTGTGCAAAACTGTGTAGGAAACTAGAGCTACTGAAAGTATGACACTAACTGACACTGACTTATCTCCACCGCTCACTCCACCACACCGTACCCCGCCCACGCATAGCTGAAAAGAGTCCGTAACGCATCCTCGCACCGCCTGGCTACCTTGCTCATCTCAGATGGAAAGGCAGCCTAATCCGGAGGAAGACAAGGCAGAGGACGTTAAATTTATCTATGTATATTTTATGCTAATTCAATTGACATAAGGTATAAATTGCAATGCTCCGAGACCGAACTCAGAGCATCTCAGAGTATAAAAATTCCCGACCTACGGTTACGCTGGCCTTTAGAAGTAGGGATGCACATTACGAGTCTATTTTTATGAAGATCGATTCAATTGATTACGATCTAGCGATTTTTTTATCGATCCATTTCAAATCGATTTTTAAGCGAATCGATTCGAAATTAAGACGAATCGTATCGTATAGATCGTATTAATAATTTAAACAAAAGCCTCGTCTTTCCTCGTCTGTCGATAATAGTTTTGATCAATAAAGCACGATTGATTACAGACAAATGCTGTCACTATTAAGCTTTTGCGCATTGTTTATTATGGCAATTAAATCATGTAATAAAGGTGTTTTATTTATTATAAATTTTGAAACGGTTTTTATGAGATCGATTCAACAGCATACGATCCGATCCGTGGATCGATTCAGAGGCATATTTATATTTAAATTTTTATCATAGAAGAGTAAACCTTCTGAAGTTCTGAGTAGAATGTTATTGTAATAATCTATCCCTTCCGTTCTTTCAATTTTTATTTACTACAATTGAAGTGAGAAAATGAATTGGGTTATTGCAGGTAAATGAACTAGCTCGTATGACGCCAGAAGAAGTGGACGCGTACAGAGCAGAGCTGGAAGGCATAAGAGTGAAAGGGAGAGGATGCCCTAAACCGATAAAGACGTGGGCGCATTGCGGCATTAGTAAGAAAGAAATGGATATATTGAAAAAGCTTGGCTTCGAAAAACCTACGCCTATACAAGCGCAGGCTATTCCTGCTATTATGTCGGGAAGGTAAGGAATGCCACTTAGGTCCATTTGCACTAGACTACAATAAATACATTGTGTTAAGAGTGTCTAATTAATTTGCAATAATTATTAATACAAAGATCGAACACTTGGAAAATATTCCTTCGATCCGGCCGTATTCGAACCGACGTCTTCTACCATACCGTGTCAGGCGCTATACCAACTAAGCCATGGAACGAATCAGCGGACCTCACGAATTTTTGTACATGCTTGCGTCGTATCTTTGTATTTAGTTATCTTTATATTTTTCAACGACTTTTTAGCCGTAGCGCCATCTATGAGCAATCTATGATTTCTATTTTATCCAGTTAGAAGGATTTTTTTTTAGTTTTCGATCTTTGTATTAATAATTATAACAAACTAGTGGGGTAATTTCACATAAAAATTGAATATTAATTCAATAAAATTTATAGTGTCTAATTAATTTAATCATTGGTTTAAGACATACTCAAATTTAGTGCAAGTTGTCATTAGGCTTTTTTTCGTTTGAATCTGTTAGTAGATAAAGTTGATAAACTGACCAGAATACATATCGAACCTTAGTCTTTATCAAATTAGTACGTACATCTGTGAATTTTCAGTTGGAATATTTTTCGCTAACGCTAAAGGAAAGCATCGTGTTGAAACCGCATGTTGAAGAAGGCTCAGAACCCCTTTACAACTTGTGAGGTCCACAGACTGTATAACCTTAATAATAAGTCCGATACTGTATGGAGTACTGCTGCCACCTTTGGGATGGCTCTGCTACATACCAACTGGCCACATTGGATTCAAATGACAAGCGTACCAAAAGGCTTGTAGGTGACTCGAAATTAGTAGAGGCGAAGCTGCAGAGCCTTGAATATCGCAGTAAAGTTGTCAACTTATCGGTATTCTACGGGATAAATCACGGAGAGCGTGCGATGGAACTACACGATTTAATTCCGCGTTCCCCTTTCCATCACCGGGGGACTAGACGTAGGCTAGGGTACCACCCCAATGTTGTGGATATTCCAAAGATTCGCACGAAGCGTTACGCTTCCACATTTATATGGTGAATGGCTACAGAGTGGAATTCCCTGTCTGCTGCCTTGTTTCCTGAACGTTATAACTTGGAAGGCGAGAGTGAATAGGCATTATTTAGGTGTGCATGCTCCATTGTTGACCTCATCGTCACTTTCCATCAGGTGAGATGGAGGTCAAATGTGCACTTATATTTTTATAAAAAATAAACCTAAACACTTCATTGAAGAAACCCGTGACCGTTGAGTATTAAATAAAACAGTTGTTATAAGAAATGAGATTTCATAATGCTTTTTATTTTTTTAAAAATTACACATATCTCAACCAGATACCAGAACCAGAAAAGCCATACTATAAGTACTCCCGCTTATTCTTAGTAAGCAGGCGTGTATGATAAGTAGTGGTCGGATAATCCGATGCTTATTTACTTACATTTCGGTTGCTCGCCAACATAATATCAAGCGACGGGCCGAGCAAGTCGTGTGGTAAGCTACACGCCTGTCCATAACAGTTGCAGTGCCACTCATAGCTTCAAATCACAATGGTCTCAGCGGCACTGCTACCGCCCCTGTCACTCTGAGACATAAGTTGACAAGTCCCATGTACCTGTAAGTTCACTATACTCTTACCCTACAAAACCGGAACGCAGTAATGTTGACATTACTGCTTGGCAGCAGAAATAGTTAGGTTGTACTTCCTTGGACGAACTCCTTCACAAGGAGCTCTACTGCTACGAAAGTATCGTAATATATAGCGTCATTCCGCCATGCCGATATTTTAAAATAGTACCTCATGATATTCATAAATTAGTAGTATATAATAAGTATTTTATTCTATCACTTTTGAAACACAAGCAATGTGTGATTTTTTCTTCAACAGCTAAAAGTGCTCTCTCTTTTCAGAGATCTAATAGGCATAGCAAAAACAGGGTCTGGCAAGACATTGGCGTTCATCCTGCCCATGTTCCGGCATGTCCTCGACCAGCCCCCCCTGGAGGACACCGACGGTCCCATTTCGCTCATTATGACCCCCACGAGGGAACTATGCATGCAGATCGGAAAGGATATCAAGAAGTTCGCCAAGTCGCTTGGGTTGAGAGTCGTTTGTGTCTATGGTGGTACTGGAATTTCGGAACAGGTGAGGACCAGCGTATTTTTTTGTGCATCATGTAAACGGAATGAATGAAAGAATATGGAGTCTGTTCCAATCCATTTTCAACAAAAAGTAAGCAAAACTGCTTGGTTAAAATTTAAAAAAAATGAATAAATCGAATAAGTAAAACTTCCACGTATACTTCGAAGAATTCGACTTGTTATTTTGTCACTTTTTCCAACAATATTTGGACATAGTTATGCAAAATGTCAACCCACAAAATGTCACTGTCGATATCATTGACTTACAAATAAATGGACGACGGGTCTAATACAAAAACCACGAAAAAAATGTCCCAAGTCAACCTATTTAAACGTAGTGACATGTAAAGGAATATGAAAAAGCTAAAACGTTGAATTTAAATTGTAATGTCATCGCAGTACTGTCTAATTTTGCTTGCTTCGCTGTCAGTCGAACAAACGAAGACTAAAGCGTGAATGACGCTCTGTATACGATTTTAACGCCCTATAAGTTCGGACACTTTAGCGCGGACCCGACGTCCATATAATTGTAAGTCAATGGTTGATATAATCAGATTTTTGTAAAAACGGTGTGAAGAAATAAATAGGTAAGTTATTTGAGACAAACAACGTGAGTTATGTGTAGCATAAAGAATGATATAGGGAAACTATTTTTTATATTATATAGCAATAAATAGAAAACATTATGTATCTTTTTATTTAGTTAACGAGAACCATGTTCTAGTTTTTGTAATGAAAACGCTAAAGATCTACAGTACTTCAGTACAAGTGACATGGGTCAATTTAGCATATTTAAAAAAATACATTATATATAGTTAAGCAGCATGGTTCTTTTTAGGTATTAAAAAGTTACTTATTTAGGGTTGGTACCCTGAAGGACTTTTATTTTCTCCGTTTTGGCTTGGTATATTCCAAGGATTTTTTGTGAGCGGGTAAAGGACACGTCTAGTGTTCTACCTAAATACATAACTCAATTTCACTCGAGGTGTGGGTTGGTTCTTGTTTGCATAACTACGTCCATTTATTTGAATAGCATCGTAATTGAAAAATGGTAGTTCAATAGTGAGGTTATTTTTCATCTATATGTCTTATGACTTGTCTATGGTTGCATAGTGCTGTAAGAAAAAAAAACATTCGGTTCATTCAATTAGTTTTTGTAATCGATTAGTCAATCGAATATTTCGATATAGATATAAGTGTAAGGATTTGAAGTTGAATATTTAAGCATATTTAAAAATTATATTGACTACTACTCGATAGCAGTTTTTAGCGGTTCAGTTGGCATTACAATTGGCCATCACTAACCCTTGTTGACTCGTTTGTTTAAATTATCTTGAAAACAGATTGAAACGAAGTATATCTACATGCATAATATACTTCGTGTCATTTTCCAATCAGGATTAGAGACAGTAGCCTCCCACTTGCTGCGAACCCGGCAAAATATAATATATGTAATATTTTATTTCTAATTTATTTTGATTATTAAATTTCATCCCATTCCGTAGTTCAGTTGGGAGAGCATCTAACATGGATTGTTGTTATTGGTAGTGTTTTATCTTTGTATTAATAATTATAATAAAATAGTGGAGTAATTTCACAAAAATAATTGAATAGTATCATGGTATTAAAACGTTCTGTCGTTCTATAAACTTTAAAAAAGAGAAATAGTGTAAATTCTAAAGGGAGAAAGAAATTTCATTCATTCGTTTATTCCATCATTCATTCATTACGTAACTTGAAAAGTAACTGTACCAGATATTTGTGCAGTACTACAAATTATTACCTGATAAAACTGTTCAAAGACGACTAAGTCTCCAGCTTGAATTGGACAATTGGGACTATAATCTAAACCCTCTTCACGTGTACTGTACAGGTTTGTGACGTATGTTATGGTTTTGTTTCCATTAACAGATAGCGGAGTTAAAACGCGGCGCGGAAATGATTGTATGCACGCCCGGTCGTATGATTGATATGTTAGCCGCAAATTCCGGACGAGTGACCAATTTGCGACGCGTCACTTACGTCGTACTTGACGAGGCTGATAGGATGTTCGACATGGGATTTGAACCACAAGTAAGTTTATGCTTTGTAGGATGGCAAACGGACACTTGTGTACGGATTATTTGTAACATACTAACAACCTTGCAGGACCACATTCCTAACATCATAGACAAAAACTTTTGTTCCATGCCTTATTAAAAGGCATTCATCACATTTTACTTTCATACGAAAATAAATAGATTTAAATATTTATTTATTTATAACATACATACCTAGCTTATAATGAGTAAAAAGACATAAAACGGCGTCGCATAAACCTATTATAGTAGATTGTACAACAAGTGCATAAAACGCGTCTTTTAACCCGAGACGAGTATATATAGATATTTAAGTCGAGGGTAAAATGGGTTTTATGAACGAGTTATACACTCTGCTTTTCACTTCGATTGCGAGGAAATTAAACAGCAATATTACAAATAAACGATTATTTAATTAAAATTGAATGTAAAATTACAACAATTAGACATATTTAATGTGATGGTTTTTTTAATTTTATGCACTAGAGCGTAAAATCATGTTTTATGCACTAGATCATAAAATCCTATTTTATGCAGTCTACACCCACAATAAATACGAACTTTAAGAGCATGATAAGTGAACAATATTTTTCTGTGCACCGTTGCATATCATATTGCCATAATAAAAACAAAAACAGGGTAAGAAGATATTCCTCCCGACCTGGCCCGACCGAAGGGTCACATTTGGCGCTAGCATGATTCATTTTTTTGTGCAAGTGTGATGAAACCATTCTTTCCGTTATAAATGTTATACGGTATATTTACTTTTTCAATGTAGTAAATTAGTCCGTTTAGAAGTTAGTTAGTTAGATAATGTACAATAAGTTAGGATTAAAATACTTATTCTCAAACGTTAGTCTTTATAGTAATGTAAGTATAATAATAAAATTATTCATATATTTATTTTGCATTTCACATGAATGGGTGGTACAGATTTATAATCTTAGAACTATTTTGGTAGGTACATTCATGTGGTACCCCGTAGGGGTTGTAGCAAATTACACTTAAAATTAAGATTACAATTAAAATTAAGATACATTTTAGATTTGAACATAATTGATTAACATGAATTTTTATTACTTTGTATACATATATTTATTTATTCATTGTTATACATAATATTATTTATATTTAATTTAAAATTCCAAATATATCTAGGTTTGTATTACGATATGTTACATTATATATTATGTTAATTATTTACAATCGTCATTCAAGAACTCACCTACAGAGTAGTAGCATTTTGATAACAGTAAATTTTTAAGTAGGCGGCAAAAAGTTTTATCCCTTATTTCCTCTTTTATTGTGTCAGGTATTTTATTATAGATTTGTATGGCTTTGTAGTATGAGCTGTTTTTAAATATTTGCATTTTTATGGGCGGAGTTAGTAGCTCTTTGTTGCCTAGTGCTGGTGCAATATTTAAATTCGTCGATGTTTTTCCTTACGAATAGCGCTGATTCAAAAATATAAATGGAGGGATACCATATAATTTTTTTTTCTAAATTACGATTTGCAGCTCTACTACTCTTGGTCCTATATTTACCAGAATTCAGAAGACACTTTTTTTGTAACACGAAAAGATCATGCGCGTCCGTACTATCTCCCCATAACAATATGCCATATCTGGATGCCATATCTTATAATTACAATTATATTAGTGTACTAGGATATCATATTTGATTAAGGAGATAAATATATCGCTCTCTACGGTAATAACTGTGCAGGACGGGGTGGGAGTCGTCGCGGAGGAGGCTTTCACGTTTGAACTTATTCTACCAAATAGATATCTAAAAAGTGTCAGATAGTATCAAAAACTTAAAAGTTTATTTTGTTTTGTAAAAACTTATGTAACAAAAGTTGTTTATGATGTTCGTAACATAGTCCTGTGAGGTTGTTTGACGAATATGCATATCAATAGATGGCATTGTGTGTTCCAAAGTAATTTATAAATTAACGTTTGCTTGTGTGGGTAGATGGCGGTAATTTTAAACAAAATAAAAGAGTAGCCACCATCGAGTTGTTTTGTTTGTTACCACTAGAAATTATACTAACTATGATAAAATGCAGAACGCCAACGTAAAACAAGTTTCTTACAAAAATAGCAATTTGGTATTCGTCGCAACATCTGGGGTACCAATAGGTACTAAATACCCGACTACGCTGTCTTGTATAGCGATTAGCAGTCTTGTCGAGTTTTTTTTAATAATATCAAGTGACGGGACGAACAAGTCGTGCGCCTAATGGTAAGCTACACGCCTGTCCATAACAGTTGCAGTGCCACTCGGAGCGTTAAATCGTAAAGATCTGAGAGGCACTTCCACTACGCCCGCCACTCTAAGACATAAGGTGACAAGTCCCATGTGCCTGTAATTTCACTATTACCCTTACCCTTCAAAACCGGAACGCAGTATTGCTCACATTACTGCTTGGCGGTAGAAATAGGTACGGTGGCAGTACTTCCCTGGACGAGCTCTTTCACAAAAAGCTCTACTGCTACAATTATCGAGTTGTTGATCCATGGTTATAAGTTAAACAGTACTATTGCTCGCCGTCGAACTGTGAGGTCACTTTACAGTTTAATATTGTTATTGTTGCGCAGGTAATGAAAATTATAGACAACGTTCGTCCAGACCGACAGACAGTGATGTTCAGCGCCACTTTCCCGCGACAGATGGAGGCCCTCGCTAGGAGAATACTGCAGAAACCTATTGAGATACAGGTAATTGTTATTACGGATAAAAACATGGAGGAGAAAACGTCAAAGTTTCTACAAATTAAATTAGTCGATAACTTTTTATGCTTAAGCATAAAAACAGACAAAGAGAGAAACAAAAACAGTTATATTATTACTCTTTTTACTCGATTTTATAACTCTCCTATTTAGGAGAAGTATCAAGTCGCACATATGCATTTGTTTGTAGTTTGTATTATTTATGACTTTTATGTGATAACAAAAATAAAGACATGGTATGGAAATTATAACAAATCCTGTACTTTGAGAATTAAATTAACTTCGGCGGGACTACCGAAACCAAAACCGATTTCGTTTCTTAAATAAACTCTATTGGGAATTTTCCAAGGACCTTGTTCTCTAGCATAAATTGTTCTATACTGCAAAGGTTTAGGTAATTAACTAAATGTAAACAAACCGTAATGAAGTATTTTATGAGGCATTACATGGTCACTTATTATAAAATTATAATTAACTTTTTGTTAATGGTTAAATATGTGATAATTTATTTATCTAAGGACAGCCATTGGTAGATACAATAAATCTGGGGAATAATGGAGATTTAAAAATACATTTCATTCTAAATGCGCTACCTGTAAGTGCCACAACGTGCAAAGAAAACGAAAAGAAAAGTTAAGAATAACAGGAGGTATAATTGGAATAAATAAAAATGATTCTAATTAATATTGAGTAAAGAAAAATAAACATGAGTTACGCTCAAATGGAATCCTTCGTATTTTAAATTTAAAAACATGGAGCGAATCGTTGAGGCTTTTTGACAATCTAGCGATAGCGGAGTAGTACTTAAGGTTGGTCCTGGAAGGCGGTGGATGGAGTTGTGCGACCGAGTGACTTTGTTAAAAATATATTCAGGCTTAGACAACATTTCGAACTACCTATTTAAAATAGTACTAATTATTTAAATATAATACTTGAAGATGTATAATAACATTAATAACACATATCACAACTTTCATATGACAAAACTTAAAACGATGACACCTTATAACATGCGGCCAAATTAAAGAGCACAGCAGTAATACGACGTATGGAACTCACTACTAAATATTGTATTTGACCGATTAACCAGGTGACAGCTGAAGTTTGTTTACTTTTAGTTATTTGCCTAAACTTTTGTACTGTAGCCTCTTTCATAAAGTTGCTTAGCATAGGTCTAGTCTGGGAAAACGTTTAGGGTAGTTTTCTAAATACTATAATGGTCATGTTCCGGGTGTGGACTAGAATTGACATTTATCCGTTATATTTTCACCGTTTAAGCAGTTGACAAAATAATTGTAAAAAGTAGTTGGAAAAAGCAGGAATGTACCACGAATATTCAAAACAATATTGGGTTAAACATTTCAAGGCTTCGAGTGTATCAAATTGTCTCTCTTAACTTGCCAAACAAAATTATAATATCTAATAAATTGCAACAGGTTGGCGGCCGCAGCGTAGTTTGTAAGGAAGTAGAACAACACGTCGCCATTCTAGAAGATGACGCCAAATTCTTCAAGCTGCTAGAACTTTTGGGTTTATACAGTCAGATGGGCAGTATTATTGTGTTCGTGGACAAACAGGAAAACGCTGACAGTCTACTTAAGGATTTGATGAAAGCTTCATACTCTTGCATGAGTTTGCACGGAGGTGAGATTTTTAAATTATTAATAATAAATAAGCAAATAAGGGGTTTACAGTTGAAGGTTATTAGGACAAAGGATCCATTTTTTTCTTCCATACAACTTAGGCCCAAACATGTACCTCAAGTACTCTCTTATGTTTTTGTATAAAAAATTACGTGAAATTAATAAAAAATTATTTCTTTTATGAATTTGCCGTAATTTTTTAGACTAGAATAGAATTTATTGATCACTTGTACCACACAAAATTATTGTTCGAACATATGACTGGCATAATTATATATGGCAATGTCTATACTTTAGATCATTGAGTATTTAACCAGAAATATAGACGAAATGTCATTTAATTTGTTTGAAAACTATTTTGCCAAATCTTTAATGTGACAACTGCGCTCCGATTGGCCCTTAGAGGATGGAAAAAAAATAAAAGAAAGGAGCTGCCCTAACTATGGAATGAACGTGCATACCTAAACAAAAATTGAACAAGCAATGGCGGATTTCTTTAGTGTCGTACCGTAATCTATCGATAAGTCATTATCAACATGAAAACATTTAATTAAAGTAGATCAATAGTCCATTTGGGAATATTTTAGGTTATATGGGAATATACGGGAATGTCACATTCAAAGTTATGTTAAAATTTGACTCTTCAAAGTGAAGCAAATAAATTAAGATGGTCTTTGATTCAATGTTTATATTCGGCACTCATATGATTTCCAACCATTCTTTTTTCTTTTTGATTTGTAGGTAAACTTGAAATAGTAAAAATAATAATAATAAAAACTTCGTAGTGAATTATTTTAATAACAGAATATCGATAATATGTAGGCTTCCAAGAACAACACTATATCAAAATAATCGATAACAACAATCATCAAAATATACAAAACAAACAGGCAATCTGAAGAAAAGATTTATGAATAAACTACTAATAAAAAATAAAATAATAAATATATTTAATTTAATTATATGAGATATTTGGGCTTTTGTGTGATTTATAGGCAGAAAAATAACATACACAATGTACAATGTTACATTCGGTCGATCTTCGCTTTTTCAAACGCCACATCCCGTAATGCTGCAGCGCCGAATTTTTATTAATACTTAATTGTTGTCACTGTATTTTTGTCCATTTTGTTACAATACTTGCGAATAATTCAATAAAATACTTGGAAAAACATTTATTTTGACATTTGATGTACTTCCCTTTGACAACCGTAACATGTACCTCATGTATTGAGAAATGGACACGGTTGGCATTTAAGATGACGTTACGTACTTTCGATTCCCGTGTTTGACACAGACCAATGTAATGCTATCTCTTTTGGCTTAAGACGGCACGCAATAGTTAAACAAAGACAATAAGATCTTTATGTTTTCAACGTCGAAATGCATCGTATACATATAACGTCTGATTTATATATGTCAACATAACATGTCCTTTAGTTTCCATAGTCTAAGGATTGGCCAGCCCGAATTCGAAACTGTTTCACTTCAAATCGACCAGTTTAACATGAGTTTTGCTATAATGGACGAAAATTGCAAAATTACTTATTTAATATTTAATTACCGGTGAAATGTGATTCCGTTTGTTTTGTAATTAAATATATTGCTGTTTTTCCCACACCACTGAAGGAACAGCACAGAATATACGGAGACGTACACACAGGTCAGTTGTTGGAGCTGTACTATTTCAGTTTTCTAATTTGTGATTTAAGCGCATACGAGAGTTGATATTTAAAAGTGATATAAGGTCCATTTACCTGATGATTTATTTACCGGGGATGGATGGCCCTTATTTCGTCTCTATTTCTGGTTATATACTCGATGCTTTAGATGGTAGGTATTCAGCTATCGGGATTATTTAAAAAATAGGTAATCGTTTTTTGCAGGTTCTTAACAATATCCTCTCCTTCTTTTATAATTTATTCATAACGAGTCCATTATTATATTATTACAATATCTAATAAGGTTGACTAAAAGACTATGTCTCAAGCTGTTAAACCATTTAAATGTCACATAATGACACGGTTGACACGTCAACGTCATAGACTTTTTTTATTCCGTTTGTTCTGTATTTCGTTCGCTTCGCGTCTCTGGAGTATTATTATTTGTGTTTTTGATATATTCGTCACTAATTTTTAACTATTCTATGAGGACATTCTCTCAATCGAACCCGATTATTAGCTACGATGAAAGCTGTCAAACATGACAATGTACGTTTCGTCGAACGCAGTATCATTTATTCATATAATTGTAAAATAAAATTTTTCAGCAATTTCTATTAAAATTAAAAAGATTTTAGTTAATGGATGCTTTCGTACATAATTTTAGAAATTTTTTAACACAATTGGGCCCAAAAACGAAAGGATGCTTTGACTAATGAAATTCATGTTATTTGTTGAATATACTGGTTTGATAGTTTATAAAAAAACATGGTTAACTAGATATCTAATTATTTGTTAAATTAACAAATAAGCAATAGTCATGTGTCGTTATGGCTTTTTCAAATAACAAAAAAAAAAGTTTTTAGATAACGTTGAGAAAACTATCTATTTTTGACAACTATCTACTTCGACTACGGTGCAAGTGACGAAGCGTTGTAAAATAACTGTAAAAAAATAACTAAAATAAGAAAACTGCAGTTTGTTTCGTTGTCTTTTTTTTTTGTATAAAAGTTTTTTTGCATTTGATAAAGCCCAAATCTTGTCTATATAACATATACTACAACCCAAAAATTTTGTAAATATTATACACAAAATTGCAGGTTTATTTATTTACAATTAAGCACATAAAGTCTCATTTAAAATAAAACTAATTTGCGGAATCCGCTACGATCAGTAAACAAATAATTAGTATGCCTATCACCACGCGCGATTAGAAGCAAACTAATTCATTACTATCTAATTTAAAAACAACAATTGCAAAGGAAATGGGACCCTGCATTACACGTGTCCAGGTCAAAAATTAAAAAATTTAAAATTTCCGAAAGTTATTCATTCTAATAACGACTTTCATTCATAACACAAAGGTCCCATTATGCAACAACGAAACGTCGTCAATTTCATAGTAAATTCAATCATCCAACCTCATACTTGTGCAAACGGAACGCGCGTTCTATCCTATATCTTACTCGCTCTTATTGTTGCGTTGCGATGCTGCTACGTCGCCAACCGCAACGGCAACATCTATTGCGACGACAATATCTATCTATTGTGATTATATAGAGCGTTGCGAGATAGTAACACTTTACAATCACTACAAAACAAGCGATGGTTACAATCTTAACGGGGCGTTGTGAAAAATAGATAGTTTTTCTGGGCTAGAAAACTAGTAATGGTTATGAAGCCAAATAGACAGTTTTAAAACTATCTACGCTAAATAACGCTCATCGCCCATAGACAATATATTTAACAAATGTATGTATGTTACGCAATAATCAGATGTATTATATATTCTGTAATATATACTATATATTCAACACATCACGCTGCACACTTTTGTTCGAATATCGTGACCAAAGTAACAAGATCCGTAAATGTTTTGCTTGAAATGCAACGCCGTTCGTATATTCAATTACAGGCAATCGCATTTTAGATATTGACAAAATGCACGTCCGTAACTAGTAAATAGATATTATGTTTCAAAGTCGTAATATCTATATTTCATAGGTAAGCAAATTATATTTGAAACCGTCAAATTGATTAAACACTGTTACTCATTTGTAAGGCAGATTCCCCTGAGAAGAATGAGTAAGAAACCCTGGAGGTTGCTCTTTGTAAACAGGCATTTCATCGCATTTATCATTTACTTAAGTTTGGCTGGGCATAGTGAACCTACACGAATTTTGTTTCTTTAAAATAACACATGATTTTAATACAGGCAGGAAATAAGGAATGGAGAAGTCGGAGATTTACTACAACGACCTATAAAACACTGCTAGCATTTGACTTTGACTTAGCATTTTGGCATTAACGTAATAAGTATAGTTACTATCTGTTTTTCCACAAGTAAATGACTTCTTCATTATTATGAACTACGAGAATTTTACTGCAAACAATGACAACAAAAAAAGCACCTTCAATGCTAAAATTTATATATTATATTTTTAAATACTATTTTCGCATACTTGATTATACACGAAGTACTGCCACCTTACGGCCGATCAGACATGGGCAGCTAGTATCGACTGCTTCAAGCTGCAACAACATAGCAAACTAGTCTTCTATGTACACGCATACACCGCTCGAGCAGTTGCGACTACTTCGGGCGGTTTGCAGCGCGGTGAAATTTCATCGTGCTGTCAAGCAGTCGCCAGGTATACACTGACTGCTCGAGCTGTCGACTGTAATCCGCCCGCGCTCTTCATACCACGTCACGCGCGCATTTTGGCAGCAGCAATTTGTACGCCGCCGCCGCCGTCGTCGCCTGACCAAAAGTAGCAGTAGTAGTGCTTCTTCCACAAAATCTATGAAGCTACTGATTTGAATGAAATTGAAATTGTGACTTGTTGAGCACTTGCTACCAATTGGTGCAATTGGTATCAACTACTCCAGCAGTTATCAATTTCAGCCTCAAGCTTGACTATGACTGCAAGAGTGGTCCGTGTATGTTGATCATTAACTAACTGCTCGAGCAGGTCGTGTATGGCCACCCTACGTGTTTCTGCCGCCAAGCAGAATGTGAGCATTACTGCATTCCGGTTTTGAAGGGTAAGGGTGCCGGTGAAAGTAGGCACATGGGACTTGTCAAATTATGTCACAGCGTATCGGTTGCAGTAGCAGTTCTTCTCAGATCGTTGCGATTTAAAGTTCTAAATGGCACTACAACGCTATGGACAGGCGTGTCGCTTACCACCAGATATGTGTGACCCTGATCACACATGTCCAAGAGCTGGTTTCGTGAAAGTTACAATTGGGCTATCAAATTTCTCAATCAAGTAGTGGTTTTTGACTTCTATTTACGTCTTACAAGTTTAGACTTTGCTTTGGGGTTGTGTATGCTTGTAGAAATCATTTCCATTGCGATAAGTACTATGTTATTTATATAAATACATATTAATAAATAGTGTAAACCTGGAAAAGCAAGTACAAAACTAACTAATTCACTATTTTCCTTTCAGCCAGCGACGTTGTTCACTCCTGAGCGAGCTTCTTAAAATATTCCTCTCGTTTATTTGCTATTGGTTGTCAAGTGTAAGCGATTTAAAAATGTAACTGACACTGTTAAAGAAACAATCAGTCACTGTTGCTTTTGTATTTCAGTAACTATATAAAGTATGATTTTTTTCTCTGTTAAATATTAAATTTCAATCTTCTATTAAGGGGTCATGAGTAAATCTGATTATTGATTAAAGGTACCGTCTGAGTGAGAAGGTTTATAAATCACTCACAACATGTAACTTACGGCGTTGAAAGCCAAAAAAGCCAATACAAAGATCTATAACAGACGCATAGAAGAATTTCGACGACATGCTAACTCGACCAACTTAATTGGTTGGTCAAGGCCTGTCCGGTCGAAGTTATTTTGCTATGTGTTCGGTTTTTGTATTAATAATTGAGTAAACAATAAAACTAGTTCAGTCATTTCACAAAAAGTAAATAAATATTTTAAAAATGTGAAATTCAAAAAAGTCAATAATACATCTGACTTATTAACTTTAATTTCCGGTGGAGAATTTAGTATACGAAACGTACCATACCATTGGCTTTAATTTCAAAATTTACGTGCATTTGTGCATATTTAGTACCTCTAGGTAATGGTGAAAGAAAATATCGCGATGAATCCTGCATATCGAAGCAGGTTCACGACGGCCCAAATCCTCTTCTCAGAGGCGACCAGTGCCCAGCAGTGGCACGTATATAGTTTTTTATTATTTATTTATTTAAGATCAGATTACAAAGACCCATAAATACATACCTTATAGACTAACACCCATAATAATAATAATATAATAACAGTATTTATTTATTTACACGTATGGACTGCGACGTGTGACGCAACGTGGGTGTCCGGTAACTGTCCTCGGAAACGTCGGTTCATGACGCCCTTCCGCCAAAAGTCCTCCTCCTTGAAGGTCGACAGATGTTGAGTTGGTATTCTCACCGCAAATGAATTAAAATTCACATTGTGACAGGATTCCAACTGCTCGACCCTCAGGGCAGCATTGACTTTCACCCGTATGTACTGTACAATATGATGATTGGGGCCAGTCGGGGTGGGTTGGCAACGTTCTCGCAATGGGTTGACAACGTTGATAAATCAATCGCTTACATTTGCCAACTAATAGCGCTCGATACAAAGTGACGAATATATTAACGCTGGCCTGTTACAGGGATTGATCAATTCGACAGGGACTCGACAATCGTTGATTTCAAGAACGGCAAGGTGAAGCTGCTGGTGGCCACCAGTGTAGCAGCGCGAGGTCTTGATGTTAAACAGCTAGTCTTGGTTGTAAACTACGACTGCCCTAATCATTATGAGGATTATGTTCATAGGTAAGGCAGCCATTTTGAACTTGAAACTTACGATTTTATTAAATTTACAGATCGATGATTTCCAAAGTTTTCTATATATTGACCCCTTGAGCGGTCCAGTCCAACGTACAAGAAGTCTATGTTAGCGACAAAATAGGGCCATATGAGACGTTAACGGGTGTCCACGAGAGTGACTCCCATTTAGGCAGGTCGTGACAAAAATTTTGGATTTCCATAAATAAAATAAATAATCCACAGTATTTATTTATTTAATTTATTTATTTAAAGACAGTCCAACAACTTAACATAAAACAATGTTAGAAATAAATACACATACGTTCACCATACAAGGTGCCAAGTCGCTACTTGTTTATACAGCACTAAACATTTAGAGTAAGCCAATGAGATACAAAGAATAAACTAAAATAATAATAATAATAATAGTAATAATAAAAAAACAATTAAAAATGTAAAATTACACCTATAATTTGATTTAAGATTGAAACAATTGCTTGCAAATGCGAATAAGTTGTTTAGTGTTCCCTACATGAACGATGTCTATATCACTGTCTCTGGTCACAGTCAAGTTTTTGTATGACTGCATGAGTCTTTTCAAGGGACATACCTTCCGAGATTCGTTCGGCATCTAGATAAAACAAATGATTTGGCAATGGGGGACCCTAGGCAAAGTGTGAGGGCCAGTGCCTCTGGCGACAATATACCTCCATGCACCAACCTGTGCAGAGTTCCTGTGTCAGCAATTCGACGTCTGGTTTCAGGAGAACACATTCTGAAATATTTTAGTCGAGTATTATATTCAGCACGGTAGGGACAATTGGGGTCTTTATATGCGAGAAAACGAGTAAAGTTACATTGCAACCTTTCTGTAATTTGGATTCCAGACCGGCGATACATATTCCAAGGTACTACGTATCAAAGTGTTGTATAAGGCGAGTGTAGGAGCCGTATTCCTGTAGTCCACACACGCACAAAACCTACCATCTTCCATGCCTTTAATATAATAATACTATGAATATGATCTGAGAAATTTAACTTGCTATCAAACATAACTCCAAGGTCACGGAATACGTGTGTGGTACCTACTTTCTTATAATAGACTTGTAAATTATATATGAAGTAAACATTTCACACCAAATAAGATAAATAGTTATGTGCGGTATATATATGTGGTTAGATAAATGTATAAAACTAAACAGGTTTTTTTTATAAAATGTCTCACTCTATAGTTAAACTTATAAAAGTGGTAGCACTGAGTAAACTGTTAAAAGCACATTTGATGTTCATGAATTTGTAGAAATGCAGGGGGGATATACAAAACAAATTATTGTTATGTGGCGTACGTGACAAAATATTTTGAGAACCGATGTTATACATGTTATACATTGTGACGCTTGTAGTTGTGAGAGGTTGTAACGGGTAATATCAACATCAGCGATAATGATGTTATGAAGAAGATATTATTTTATAAAGAACGAAATAAAAATTTGAGTTCTATATTTATTTTTACTAAAATAGGTGAAGGAACATTCAAGTTCTTTCACATCCTTAAATGTGGAGAGTGGCGTCGCTTATGGCCAAAAAATCTTTGTATCCATGTAATTTATTACATTTATAACGAAAAAGACATTGTCGACGACAGACTACAACACTTGAAGAAACACACGTCTTTTTCACTGTTCTTGCATTGTCTAATACCGATCAAAAGCATATGCTTTTCGGCCCAAGTCGATTCAGCGTTGTTACGCGTGATCTCACTATTGCTACGTAGCGACGTGTAGCAGTTATCTGTGTTCGAATTTTTCGTAATACGATCGTTTGTTGTACAGATGTGGCCGCACAGGCCGAGCGGGTAACACTGGCTTCGCGTGGACGTTCCTCACGCCAGAACAGGGCCGCTACGCCGGCGACGTGCTACGCGCCTTTGAGCTGGCAGGTGCTACACCTCCGCCGGAGCTACGACAGCTCTGGGAGTCATACAAGGACTCACAGGAGAAGGAGGGAAAGAAGGTGCACATGGGGGGAGGGTTCAGCGGAAAAGGTCAGTGACCTCACTTTGTTGTAATTTGAGTATATTTTTCGTGCCGTTTTTTATACTAGGGTTGACGGACTAAAGTACATAAGTAAAAAACCAACGTCGTTCATGTAAATTAATACATCTACCGACTAAAGCTAAAGATGAAATGGCGACATGTCACAGGCATTATTTGCGATCGGCGAATGCCTCTTAAGCTAAAGGGGAAAATATACAAGACCGTGATTAGACCTGTCGTACTGTATGGATCAGAATGTTGGGCGATGAAAAGGAAGGATGAACGAACTGTGCATGTAGCGGAAGTGCAAATGTTGAGATGGATGTGTGGAGTCACGATAAGGAATGAGTACATCAGGCTTGAAAGTGGCGCCAGTGACGGAAAAGATGAGGAGTAATAAATAGGTCAGCGTGGTATGGACATATCATGTGAAGGGAAGAATGTCATGTGACGAGTAGAATGTTAGATATGAATGTGGAAGGATATAAGGGAAAAGGAAGGCCAAAGAAAAGATGGATGGATTCTGTGAAAGATGACATGGACAAGAAAGGTTTGAGTATAAAAATGACGGCGAGTGGAAGAAAAATACACGTTGTGCCGACTCCACCTAGCGTGGGATAAGGACAGGAAGAAGAGACCATCTACCGACTAAAGCACATGCATTATATATAATAACGCACACACTGAACATAGCCACGCACTAGTGAAACCCTGTGTCGCGGGCGCCATGGACACACACATAGACAACCACAAATTACACCCAAACTCACGAGAGAAATAAATGTAGGCCATACAAATATTTCTCCCGGCCCGGGAATCGAACCTGGGGCCGTTCGGCCACGGAGGCAGTTAAACTAAAGCGCATGCATTAAATTAATTTGTTACTTCATTAATTTGTTACTTAAATTCAAGTGGCGTCTTTCAAATTTATCGTTCTCTACACGTCTTCCAACTTTATAAACAACACATAAAATATATAATTATAATATTGAAAAATGTAGCACATTTTTGACTTACGTTTTTGGTCGCCGACTAGTATTTTTTATAGAATATAAACGTTACGTTTCGGACGTTTTTTTATCAATTATTAGCACACGTTCTATCTTACTCATAAGATGTTAATAGTAATTAAAACAGTGTCCTTGTACTTTCAAAATACAGCAATACCCCGCCTAGCGCGATTTCGTTATAACGCAATTTTCAAAATTCGCGTTTAATTACTCCGCTTTACGCGGATGCATTGATTTGATGAACCACAAAAAACTGAAGTGACAGTTCAAAATGTATTTTCGTCAAGTGCAATTCAGAAACGTTGTCTAAGATTTATTCAGGTCTTGATATCCTAGAAAACTTAGACAGCGATGTCGACTCTGCTTTGTTTCTCCGCACATCAATACAAAATGGAGTAGCTTGTTACGAAAAACTTTTACAAAAACGCAAACAAAATGCGACCTAAAAAACTTTTGACAACTATTTCACAACTAAGGTCTCATTTGTTTCTGTAAGACTTTCCTGAGGTTTTTTAATATACACAAATAAAGCGCGTTCATTACAATATTCACCCTGTTATTCGATCATACCACGTTCTATCCCTGATAGTAGTCGTTATGTCAAGGTAGAGACCCTCGGGGACCAAAAATCTATAACACCAGGCGGGCCACGCAAAAACAGAACAACCCCGTTTTACACCAATTTCCCTTAATGCGATTTTGTCCGGAATTCAACCCTCGCGTAAAACAGGGTGTTACTGTGCTTAAACATTAATTGTAAAGAGTTTAAGAAAAGAGTTTTATTATTATTATTTATCAAATATGATAAAATGGATTCGCACAAAATGATAGTCTAGTATTCTTTAGTAATAACATACCCATTTAATTAACACCAGCTACTGACGCACTGAACATTTGTTCAGGTTACAAATTCGACGAGTCCGAAGCACAAGCAGCGACGGAAAAGAAGAAGTACCAGAAAGCAGCATTAGGGCTTCAAGATTCTGACGACGAGGACGTTGAGGGTGACCTCGATCAGCAGATTGAGACCATGCTGGCTGCCAAGAAGATTGTCAAGGAAATCAAGGTAATGTGACTGGAGTAATCGTAATTTTGTACAAAATTATACAGGTATAACCACATTCGACCTATAAACGCAAATCTGTGAAATAGAAATCGACACACTTTACAGGAACCGGTTTCCTGACGGTTCGCTCGCTATCGTGTGGAATAATAGAATACTTTGCCGTAATTCTTCACTTGTCGTACAAATGTATACCTCCAAATAAAGATAAAAACGAAGTCTAAGATTTAAAAACAATATTTTGTGTTCGTTCGCAGCAGAAGGAATGAATGGCATCGAGACAAACCTGAGTAGAGTTTAACGATGCTTTACAATATTTATGTATACTTTTTTGTTAAAACTGTTAAATAAAGAAAAAAAGAATATTGTTTATAAATTCAATAACTTGAAAACTTAAGCAGTAAGCGCACGACTTGTTCGTCCCGTCACTAGGTATCATAAATAATTGTACCTAGTTTGCCACCATTAGAGGTGGAATATTTTCTTCAAATTTAAATGGGACCAATACTGAGGTACCTTTTTCCAACAAAAAAGAATCATCAAAATCGGTTCATAAATGCCGCCTTACTCTTGGTAAAAAACTGCTTAACAGTGGCTTCTGGTGGATATTCAAGGCACGTAAAACTTTGCAGAGGATACGCTGCGTTAGTTAATCATTTCGTGACCAAACGACGTTGAGATATCGGTACAACGTAATACTATTATTTTACAACTGACGAAAAATAAAGATTTTATTTGTTTATTCATGGAAAACCAACAGTTTCAAACATTTAATAAAAACAGTATTAAAAATATACATTAATTGATTTTATTTTTCTCGGACGTGTTGCAACGTCCATACTTTCAAAAGGATGCAAAAAACATATTATGTCAATGACAGGTTTCCACCTATAATTTCAGACTAACAAATGTGGCCACTAAATAAAAATGAACAATAATCACACAAACAAAACAAACCAATACCTGCGTCAACAGTCTTGAATTACTCAATAAAATTAAGTAAAATCTGAGTAAGTTTAAGTAAGATCTGGTCAAGAATCTCTTGATTTTTTAAATCCAGGTTATTTGAGAAAAGGCAGGTTGCTGAAACACAACTCTTAGTGATGCTGGTTGGTAGATAATAGGCCTTATAAACGTCAGGAAAGTGTGTGTGTTATAAAAAAAATGATAATGATGAAATGATGAAAAAGTAATGATGATTGTGGGGATTCCAGCCCGGCCTGGGCGCGCCCGGTATACCCGCGGCCGGCGCCGCAGCCCCGGCGGGCGCCGTCGCCGACGCCAACAAGCTGGAGCTGGCCAAACGGTTGGCCTCGAAGATCAACATTGCTAAAGTAAGTGTCCACGTTGCAGTTTTAAGGCCCCTGTAAACGGGGCGATTTGTCTACACGGTCCGTTTCAAGGAAAATTATAAATGATATTTCTTGAAAGCATGTAAATTTATAATGTTTTTTTTTGAAGACGGAGTAAAATGACATTTGCAGGGTTGCCAGTTTTCATAAAATTTTTAAATTCCCTAGTTTGAGACAGGCAGGTACATAATTGGTGTTGTTGTCCAGTATATTATTAATATTAGGTTTGTTTAATATATCAGACTTTAAGCTGTGTTTTCACTATACGAATACGCTCGAACAGAGTCCACTCGGATGACCACTCGGACGCTACTAGTAAAGTGTAAACACTTGATCCGAGCGCACTCGGACGTCTAGACTTGGACGCGGTTTTATTCTTAAAAGTTCGTCGGATCATTTTTTGAAAACAAAATGGCGCCAACTATGAAAATGTGGACTGAACGTGACAATATGAGGTTTTTAACGTGTTTTTGTCTTTTTCTTCCACTTCTCGAATAAAATTATTTGAACCACTCAGTTGGTTATGCCTTAAAATCCATTTTCTGGTTCAAATTTTTCTCTTGCTTTTTTCCCTCCCGTGATTTTGTACTTCAGCCATTAACATATCTGCTACACCTCACGTACCTCGCAGCAGCATTGCAGTCGTCATCTTGATTGTGAAAATCCAAGTGGACTCCTATACGATCTAACTCAGAACAATAAATACTAGTAGAAGTGGTTAGTTAGTATCGAACGCGTAATCATAGTATGGACAATTGTCCATACTTGAGTTCAGTCCGCCATATTCGCTTTGTACTGTATGGTTGTGTCATTATTTCGCGCAAATTCTCTAAAATGCTAGACAAATGCCTTATTGTGCTGTTTTGGTGTGCAAAAATGATAGCCGAAACAAAAATATTACCCGTGGTAGTATTTCATATCATTGGTTAGTCTTATTTTAATATTTTTTCCATTTTCTGTTTATACCAATTGATTTTTTGAACTGTAACAAATGAAAATAAACATTATCCAGTGCAATATGGTCGAGATTCATATTTTGGAGAACTAGGTAAAGATCTCGAATTTTCCACGCTAGTACCGAACAAAAGCTTATCGAAAAAAATTTTTCATGAGTGTTTTGTTAATTTTAAAATTAACTGATCGAAATAAAGTTCATTATGCAACGTGCGCTTTAAAGAATACATTTATTGTCGAGAAGATACCACTTTCTATCTTTTGTTAGTTGTTCGTTCGTCGTAGTCCATCTACTGGCCGCGAGATGACAGCACGTTAGTGAGAGTATTGAACGTTCAACGATATAACGACTGGCTAAAGTTTAAATTATATTAACAGTGCCGAATTTGTTAAATCTTTTGAAATTAGAAGCCATGTAAGACAAGTCATTATTAAGATTTCATAGGGTATATCAATCGTATGTATTTTGGCGACAGTCATTTATTTTTCTCGATGTTTTAACTCGTTCGGGCACACTTGGTCTGAGAGCACTCGTGTGGTGAAAACCCGGCTCTAGTATTGCTATGGCAATTTCACAAAATGATACTTAATATATTTCCGGTTGTTTCATTTGCAGGGTTTGGGCTCAGAACATAAGGGTGCAACACAGCAAGCGGCCGAAGCTATTCTCAAAGGCGCCCCATCGGCACACACACTGATTACTGTAAGATTTCTGGTTTTATTACGTACTTGTATATATTTTGCAACAATTTATATTGGTCCTATTGATGGGCAAGAGTTTCCTCGAAGACCTAGACCATAGATCGCGCTCATATAGTTTTTGTGGCACGGTTAGGAATGATGAATTGTCAAAGTTCTACTAAAAATGCTCCTCATTTACATTTATATTTAAAATCTTTTGAAATTAACTGAAAGTACCTAGGCCCACTTCATTACACAATCAAACCAAATAACTTTTAATGTAGGGACACCAAGTTGCCGTAGATTGGCGGCATCACTGATGCAGGATCTGATAGGACTCGAAAAGGACTTTTCTTTGTGTTCGATCTAATTATAGGATAATTTAATATAATTTATAATTTAATAGGATAATTTAATTGCCTCCGTGGCGGAACGGTTACCATGCTAGTCTGCCACGCAGAGGTCCCGGGTTGGATTCCCGGGCCGGGAGAAACATTTTTTTGAGTTTGGGTGTAATTTATGGTTGTCTATATGTGTGTCCATGGCACCCGCGACACAGGGTTTCCCTAGTGAGGACTAGTGTGTGCGTTATTTATTATTTTATTAATTTATAGGACACCTCTCAGATTGCGTAAAAGTACAGCTGTTCCTTACAAAATAATAATGATAGCGAAAATCGATCATTAGCAGACCAAATTAGATTTTTTACTAGGAATCGAACCCGAAATCTTCTCATCTAGCGCTCACAGTGTTAACCGCTAGTCCAAAGAGTTAGTCAGTGTGTTTATCTTATACATAAGCATTTGTAATCGCAGGCTAAGACAGTAGCAGAGCAACTGGCAGCGAAGTTGAACACGCGTCTGAACTACCAACCGCGAGACGAAAGCACATCCGAGCCCGCTGAGGAGGTGTTCCGCAAGTACGAGACCGAGTTGGAGATAAACGACTTCCCGCAGCAGGCGCGCTGGAGGGTCACCAGCAAGGTACGTGCACCTCATCGTTGACAAGACGCGAGTGTCCTTTAAGAAGAAAGTTTAGGTCATAGTCCATAGAGTTGAGAACCCAGAAAATCGACGTGTAGGTTTAATTCAAACTAGGATGATCCCTGTAACGCTTCATTTGACGTTTGTCATTAGGTAAAGTCCGTAGATTCTTAGCGTATTTGATTTTTGAACTTTCTAACGTATTCTGAACGATGTATAGATGTGTGAAGTGTTTTGTATTATATTGAACGCATCGCACAAGTATAATTCAAATGCAATTTCAATAGATATTTTAGTAAATTAAAAAAAACGCATTTATCATATCATTAATTTATAGGTTTTAAAAAAATAATAACACTGACATGACAATTCTTGTCTATGATCAAAATTCATACATAAACAATGAAAACACGCGCTATGTATATATTGCATTTATTCCTTAAGTTATCGAAAACTTTTTATCGATATACCTCGTCTCTAGCAAATGCATTGCAATGAAGTATCATTTATATGTTGTAAAAAAAAGAATTTTGAAAAAAAAAAAAGAAATTCCGCTCATTTTGTTCAAATAAACATTGCAGCTATTCTTTTAAAAGCAAGGCTTGTGAAGTATGTAATTTAGTGCACGTTGTTAGAAGGTTGTACTTTGTTGATTTTTATGAATTGTCACGGGGCCATCCCAGATTATTTTTAAACTACAAATTTTCTAGTATGATCCATGTGACACTTCATTTGACGTTGTTTATAGGAATGAGGTAAAGTCGATAGATTTTTGAAGCAAAGGTTCTCATATGGCCTTGTATAATATTACGCATTTAAATAAACATGACAAATGAGTTTTTAAAATGACTTGTGTATAAATAATATTTATTTTTTCACTCCACTAATTAAACTTTTACTTTAATTTTATGTATTTGCTTAAACAAAAACTATTCACTTAAAAGCGAGACGTATAAAAATAGTTTACAAAATACGTAAATTAGTGGACATAATGTAACCTTGTGGTCTCAGTATAATGTTTTATAATTTCACAGCACCAAGAAGCTTTCAGCTAAATTATCATCATTAATTACAGGCTTCTTACAACAACAAACAAAACCATAACTTAGAAAATAAGAGCATATGGAGAAATTAGGAAGATCTGCTGACTCGGTGTATCCATTCAATCTTTCCATCACTTGGAACATGAGACTTTCAGATTCGAATGCGATTTCATAATATCCATAGCGATCATTTTTCATGACTTCGCGACTGTCGTTATATTGATTATATTAGACGTTAATCCAATAAACACAATTTTTAATTGTGTCCAGTTTCTGGTTTTTATTTTGGATATTTTTGTGAATGTTTTTCACCTGATATTCCACGTTTCTTATTTAAACAGAATAAAATTACACTTACGGTACAAAAGAGCATAACAAAAGTTTATACTGGTAATACTGGAGGGTATTAGGTTATATACCCTTTATGATAATTGTACTGGACAACAATTTTATTTTAACTCACTATCATTGTTCACAGTCACTCCTCTTATACGATATCAAATTGTTTTTCCATTTGCACAATATTTATTTTAATTTCATTCCATTTACCTGTCCTTTATCCACTTCAAGTGGTTGGTTATTCGCATGTTGACCTCAAGTTTTGTGATAACATTTTGTTATTTATTGGATGCATATTAAATGCTATCGGTGCATAATGTAACACTCAGTTGCTACTTTGTCCTCGTTACAAATAGAACTTTTGCCAATATGTTGCTCAAGTTGGCCATTATTGGTGCGTTTATATTTTTCTGTGTGAAACTCTTGAAGGGGCACAGGTGTCATTATTGTAAATAAATGTGTAGAAGGTAGGTGGAGATTTGTCGTGTCTAATGTCAATATGTTTTAAACTCTATTTATAGAATTTTATAAAATAGAAATCATTTATTAAATATAAAAGCGTACTACGCACACACACATTATATAACTGCCTCTGTGGCCGAACGGTTACCATTCTGGTCTGCCACACAGAGGTCCTGGGTTGGAGAAATATTTGTACTTACATTTATTTATTTCGTGAGTTTGGGTGTAATTTGTGGTTGTATATGTGCGAGGAATAAAAAGAATACTTATATAATTTGCGACTAGTGTTGTCTTAAAACTAATGGAAAGCGCAAGTCTCATTCCCATTACATACGAGTTAACATATAATATGTACGAATAACAAAAAAACTTAAATAATTATATAACGAATAAATAATTAACATAACAGGCAGCGTGTGCGCTATGCTGTTACGGTATCCGCCATCCACTCAGGTTACTGTCGTCTTACTGAAAGTGTTATCACATTATTTTCAGCGGATTTTGTAACAGGAATATAGGAATGTTTACTACGTTTAACTAAGATACTTTTCAATTTCACAGGATAGTTTTTAGGTTTGTCATTGTCAATATTGCTAACAAAAAAAGGGATACGTCAAGACAAATCTTTAACTTGATCTTTAGTTATTCACTTTTAGCTAAGATTTATATATTTAAGCCAGGAATTAAATTGAACTTTGAGTTTACTTCGTAATTTCTTGCTTAGACTTGGGCAAAGTTATTTTTGTAAATACGAAAGAAAGACTTCAAGGTCTCAAATTTTGCTTAGTCGAAGTCATAGTTCTATTTATAAATCCCAAATAAGAAAGCTCTATTAATATGTAACCCTCTGTTAAGAACGCGCCCTTTTTATGGTAAGCCACCACGAGTAATGCGTCACACACCGGACTAAATTAAAAATTCCTTTTCCAGGAGGCGCTAGCGCTAATCAGCGAATATTCCGAAGCGGGCATCACAGTACGAGGCACCTACGTACCTCCTGGCAAGACACCCCCTGAAGGAGAAAGAAAACTGTACCTCGCCATCGAAAGCTCTCAGGAACTCGCCGTGGCTAAAGCCAAGTCAGAAATAACGCGCCTCATCAAAGAAGAACTTTTGAAACTACAGACTTCAGCTCACCATATGATTAATAAAGCTAGATATAAAGTCTTATAATCCTTACTATGGACGGAATATACTGTGCTGGATGTTATTTGAATTGTTTTATTTGTAGTTTTGAAGTTTGTTCTATAGTGGAGGAAAACACTACGTCATTTTTACTGATTTTCACGGCGATTTAACCACTTCATAACAGTTAATTATTGTATAAATATAAATATGTATAAATATACAGGGTGTAAATTTGGGATGCGGCAGCAAGGCCAGGCACTTTAATCGTTGTAGTTACAGGAAAACGGTTCTAGAAGACTACCCATGAATTTTGAAGATATTTTGATTGGCATTCACAGATTTTGAAAATATGGTACAGTTAGCAAGACAAAAGGCAATTTTTACAAAACTTTTTTATACCATTCGATCCGGTCTCTGTTAAGGATCAATAGTCTCTATGCAGCTATGGTACCAACTGAGGAAAGAGTACTCGAAATGTCAGAAATCGCAAAAAGCTTTTTACCATACATTTTGCAGGGACATACTTAGTAATTAGTTACTCCGGTATTTGTGAGCCGATTTTCATGATTCTTTTTTTTGTTGGAAAGAGGGTCCCATTTCATTTTGAAGAAAATCATCCACCTCTAAGCGTGGCTGATGACGCATGAACATTCATTTTTATAAATAGCGCCTAAATTTTACTTAAGAAGCAATTATTTTAATGGTTGCTTTTGCTATTCTCCAAATCAAGGCGTTTATCTCTCAATATACTATGAGTACGTACGTACGTACGTACGGTTCTCACAACCGATTTTTATTATCTCCTGTGTCAAGTCCTGTATAGTGGCGAACTAAACATCCCCATATTTCAATAAAACTTGGCAAATAGTTGTAATTCCACGTACTTCCACGTTCCACGTACGAGATTATACAAGACAAATACCTTTTAATATTAGTTTAGGGGAATACACTTCGTTCTTGTGTTCATAGTCTTTTTTAACACTGGCACTAATATTTATTTTATTCACTATGAAGTAACTAATAAATATTAACGCTCACAATCAACATAGCCCCGCACTAGGGAAACCCTGTGTCGCGGGTGCCATGGACACACACACAAATTACAAATTACACCCAAACTCACGAGAGAAATAAATGTAGGCCATACAAATATATCTCCCGGTCCGGGAATCGAACCTGGGACCTCTGCGTGGCAGTCCGGCATGGTAACCGTTCGGCCACGGAGGCAGTTATACATAACTACACGAAAACAACTCAAAAGGTTTAGTTCTTTGTAGTCTACGCACTATATTTGTATTGTCAATGATGAAGTCTATGTTCGTAAGTTTCGGCGTGTTTTTTTATAACTTTATCTACGGGCTCTATATCTAAATCGTGATGTAGATCCTCATTTCGTATATACCAAGGAGCACCCGCTATTGTTCTCAGTATTTTATTTTGGAAACGTTGTATTATCTGTATGTTGCTTTTAGCGGCACAGACCCAGAGCTGGATACCGTAGGTCAACACTGCACTGGCATAAGGACCTGTTTATACAATAATATGTTATTGCACACAGATAGCGAAGAGCATTTACCAAATAGCCAATACATTTTCTTGAAACGTATGCCAAATTCTTCTTTTTTCTTCTTGATGTGAGCATTCCAGGGTAGCTTCACGTCGAGTGTTATACCAAGATATTTGGCGTTATTTGCGTAGGGTAACTGTTTGCTTCTAATGTATAGTGCACAGTAGTTGTTTTTTTAAATAACTGAAGTCAATGTGCACTGATTTAATTTAATTTAGTTTTATTCGCCACTTCTTCGTCCACTCATGGAATTGGTTAATGGTTTTTTGAACTTTGGTGACCGCTTCCTTGTGGTTGTTTCCTACAGCCATAATTGCTGTGTCATCCGCAAAGGTAGCAATGGTATTGTCATTTAGTTCTGGTATATCGCTTGTATATAAAAGGTAGAGAATTGGGCCCAAGACACTTCCTTGGGGCACTCCAGCTTTTATTTCTTTTAGTTCTGAATATGCGTCTTGTCTGATTCTGAACTACCTACTGCTTAAATAGGATTCAAGAAGGTTTGAGTATTGGCATGGAAGTACATATCTTAACTTATGAAGAGAATATTAGGCCTTCGTGCCTAACTTTATCGAAAGCTTGAGCGACGTCTAAAAAGATTGCGGAGCAAACTTTCTTTCCTTCCATTGCCTGTTGTGTGTATTTGATCAATAGTTGAGTGGCTTTATCTAAAACCAAGCTGGTGATTTGGTATAAGTTTATTTTCATATAGTATTGGTTGGAATCTCTTGAGGGGAAGCTTTTCAAATAATTTTGACATCATAGGTAATAATTAGGTAGGTCTGTAAGACGTGAATCACCTTTTTTTTTAACCTGGTTTCAGGATCATTATTACTTCTGCAACTTTCCACAATTCAGGAACGTATTTTAGTGTAAAGGCGGTATTAATTAGTGTCGTCAGTTTTACTATTGCTTTTCGAGGCATATTATGTAGAATTTCACCAGAAATAAGGTCGTATCCAGGAGATTTGTTTTTATTAATCTTCATTTTTATTTCTCTCTGTACTTCTTTGGAGGTAACTAGTTTTATGTCACCGGCAAATTATTGTGATGAGTTTACTTCTTCTGGAACCGGGTCAGTCGATTCCGTTTCATTTGGTTGAAATATGTTCTCCAAATGTTCAGAAAATCTTTTGGCCTTTTGTTCTCTGCTGATGGCCTATTATGTATCGTTTGACCCTCTAATAGACGAGACTTGAGTTATTGGCCTTTTCAAGTTTTTTGTTACCTGGCAGAGTGAATATTTTATAGATCGATCAGTCGTTAAATGTTGAAGATAGTCTTCATTTGACTCATCTTTGAAGCTCTTTATTTTTCTCTTCAGTCTTTTCGCAAGAGTGTTCAATAATCCCTTATCGTCCGGTGACCTGCTTTGATGCCGTCATTTCCTTTGCTTTCGTTAGAGAAGTAGTGTAGTAAGTCATACTTTAAAACTTGATGATAGTGATGCTTGAATAAGTAAAGCAAAAAGTAATAGTGCGATGAAAAATTTTAATAAAATCCAATAAATTTTGATATACACAGTATGTGTAGTTGTATTTTACGTGCTAAGTAACAAGTATGAACACGAGTTTCTTTGTTATAGATGTTTTCATTTCGATTCGCAACTCGATAACACCCTGGTATCAGGTTATTTATCGCGTACGTTTTTGGTTGTTATTCTGATAGCGAAAATTTAAAAAAATATATCGGTTATGTATTATGTAGTCTAGAAAAAGATAAGTGTCCCGTATGAAAAAACATATCAAGGCACCCAACTAAGTAATCTTTTTTAATTAATATATCACATATTCATTATTTTGGCTAAAGTACAAAATTTTTATTTTGTTTTATTTTATCTTTAGTTTTTTTTATGATAAGAAGCAACGGGACGAATAAGTCGTGCGCCTGGTGGTAAGCGACATGCCTATCTATGACTGTTGCAGCACAACTCAGAATTTACGAGTAAATCACAAAGATCAGAGCGGCAGTGCCACTGTGCTCGTCACCCTGAAACATAAGTTCACAAGACTTATGTGTTTGTAATTTCACCAGCACCCTTACCCTTCAAAATCGGAATGCAGTAACGCTCACTGTGCTCCTTTGACGGAAGAAATAAGGTAAGTAGTACTTCTCTGGACGAACTGTTTTATGAGGGGCTCTATTGTTATTAAAAATTCAGACAACTTGGGTCCATGAATTGGTTAATTACAATTCTCTTAAGGACTACCTCAGTGAAAATACAATTTTTTTTTAAAATATACTGAAATAATGGTGTTTCTTAGCAACATTGTTGTCTTATACTAATAAGCACTTAAAGAAAATGGCGTACAATGGAGGAATCGTAACTCCCCGCTATGACTTCAGGATGGAGTTGGCGTCTATTGGCGCACGAACACGTAATAGCATAATAAAACAAGGACGGTAGCAGAAGAGCTTCTTGTGATAGAGTTCGTCCAGGCAAATACCTTACCTTTTACTGCCGCCAAGCAGTAATGTGAGCATTACTGCGTTCCGTTTTGGAAGCGTAAGGGTGCTGGTGTAAGTATAGGCACATGGGACTTGTCAACTTTTGTTACTAGTAGTCGCACGACTTCTTCGTCACGTTCAAATATTTTTTTTTACATTTTTTTTATAGTGCTAAGTGACGGGACAAGTCGTGTAAATTTTATTTTATTTTTTTATTTAGACATTTATTTTCAGCCACACGACCCATATAATATATACCTTGTGGATTAATGTACATACAATGTATATGTATATATCAATGTAGCAGAGCAGCTTGTACGTGTGCACGCCCGCCGCGCACTGTATACGGACGCACACATCCGCATAATCTCGCAGTGCATTTGCGTTGCATAGCACGGTTCGTCCTACTGGATCCCCATTATAGAATTGAAGTGGTCGTACGTTGTTGAGAAAATGATATCAAATAGTAAACGTGTTTATAGTTTTGTTTGTGGTAGTTCGAGCAAGAGTGCCTCGAATTTGGAATTCTTGTAACTAATTTGGTACAAAAATTGTTCATCCAAAGACAATACCAAGTATTAAATTTCATTTTGATCATGCGTCTGTTAATTTTATTGAGTATTAGTTACTTGACAGTAATTGTCGGACGGAAACCTGTGTCCTGATTTTGATTCAAATCTGAATTGATCCGACCGGGTAGTCTCGAAATCAGGGTTTCTGAGCTATAATATGATCCTGATTCCTACTATATCTTTCTAATTTGTGAGTTAAAACAACTATTGTTCCGATTAGAAACGTCAAAAGTTTCCGATCGGTCAGTTGTGAATCGCAATTATATGCCTTGACTCGGAAAAAACGCAGTTTCCGCTCAGGAGAGGCAATCAAAATCAAGCTGCTGTTTTATAATCGTATTCCATAAACAAGATACCAATCCTCAATACTGGTATATCAAATATCAATATGTAAGTGGCAAACTGTATTTAACAAAACTTATTTTTATATAGCACGAAAACATTGTGATGAACACCTTAATTTTCCCAAACTTTTGTACCTTTACCAAATAGCTATTGTTGTAACTAATTTGTTACAA